AGTGATATCAGGTAGGGATATATATGGCACTTGAAAATGTTTGGATAGATATTTTGAGCGGATATTATACTTAAAGATACGATATGGTTAAGTTTAGGAATTTAATGCCCAGATGATAAATGTTCATTTAGAAGTGTCTGACACAGTTTAGCTTTATAATTATGGATTCAGTCAACATTTAGAAATGTATATTCTATTAAGTGTCCCCTAACACCATGTCATGTTGGTGAATTGGACGCGGGAAAGATATTCTCAAGAAATGATTACCTTTGGCGTACCTCAAATTGATCTTAAAATGATGATTGAAGGATTTTTAAAGATTATTTGGATGCAAAATATGGGGATTTAAAATAGAATGTAATTTTTAGTGGTTAGTGTAGAAATCGTACGACGATAGTAACTGTAAAATGTTTGTATTAATAGTGTAATGGTGGCCAGTTATCTGTACATGAAAGAGAATCTAATAAGATGACCCAACCCTTACTTGCTAAATATACTATCAGAGCACGATTTAAGCAAACATACAGTCTTATGTTTGCTTAGTGATTAATCAAATTCTGTTGACATATAACAAATCATACAATGGATAATGTATGGTATATTTAAAGGATATGCTAGGACGATTGGTGCAACGAGCAGTCAGTGTCTCCAATCATATTTAACTTTGCTATCTTCGACTCACCCCTCCACAAATCCCGCCCTGACTACATGCGTATCTTATCACCACATCAAGTTCAAAGTCCAACATATTGGTTTAATCTTATCTCGATTCACTGTTTGCCATTTGGAGGGTTAGTAAGCTGCTGTCTACTTAACCACGAGTTAGAGGTAACATTTTCTATTTCTAACTCATTGGTTTTAATTTTATATTATTCAATAATTGATTATCTTGTGACAATAATTAATGTTAGACCATTGATATCCAGAAATGTTTTATGTATGAACTACAATATTTTCAATGCAATATTCATGGCGATTGACTCGGATAGGATACCGATTACTACCAGAGACCGTCGCCATGAATATAAGTAATTTTCCATTTTGTTGAATTTGAAAAATCACAACTAAATTGTACATGTTTTAATTAGCTTGTAGGAAAACATTTTATAATATATCTACCAATTCATGTATAGATGTTCAAATTTATAAATCATTTGGATTTTATTTTAGTTTTCATAGAGTTCATGCAACTCTTGTGCAAAATGTGTTACTCTAACTTGGTCAGTATTGGTACTTGGATTTTTGGCATTTTGGTGAATTTTAGGTGGTTTTGAAAATGATATTACATATAAGTGAAAATAGTTAAGTTTACATTTAACATTTGAATGAAATCAATTTTGTTTTGAGTTGTTAGATTATTAGTAAAAAAAAGAAGTTTAAGTTACTCCACCAAAATAAAAAAATTAATTATAGGCCTATAGAGCTATGGGTTGTCTGTCAGTCGAATTCAACACTTTATTCTGGCCCTATATAAATTATACCTGGTCTTCTTTACCTTTTAGATGATAGGGTTCCACTTTAATCAGTATTACACAGTCTAGGGCATAGAAAAGTTGTGGTGTACAAGGGTATTGGATTTCATAAGATACACACCAAATTGTCCTGTCAGCATAGTAATTATTTAGTTAACCTCTAGGGTGAATGAAAGCATCAATTTAATGTAGGTTACCTTCAAGTGTGTTAAGTTGTATGTCATGATAAGTTTTTATTTCAAATCCACTGTGGTCTCTCTATCATCTTTACCTATAGTCTTGAGGTGAGAAAAGTAAATAACAATGGCAATGTACATCAAATTACAAATCAAGTGTCATAAAACTAAAATTACTATTCTAGTTATGAGACACAGTGTGCTTATTCTTCATGAAGGACCTGAAGCCACTTCCCATTTGTCTTGGAAGTTAACATGACTAATTATTTATATAGTAATTTGTACCTAATTGCTTTACGAGTTGCATTATCAAACCATTTGTTAGTAACCAATAACCAATCATCAACTCGACTGGATTACAAATTTATGCGTGTTCAGTATTATCTTTATCTTACAGTTTGCAGTAGCATACCGGACGATAGATAGTGGGGGGGGGGGGGGTCACTGCCCAGTAAAAAGGTTTTTGTCAGGAAAGTAGAAGGATACACGAAATACTGGTTATGTTTTTTCCCAGTATGCACAAACTTGAGCTGTGCCAGTGTAATTTCTATAGTCATGATTTTTTTTATAAATTAAAGCTTGTGAGTTCAGTGGTTGTATAACAAATATAACTCATAAATATGGTTATTAATAATATTGGACAATAGATGCCCCTTGAATGTATAACAGGCTTTAATAGAGTAATGGCTGCAAAAGCTGTTAAGATTATCCCATCTTCATTAGCCCAGTCAGAGCAGACCAAACCTCATTTCATTTCATTACTTATGATTTTCCTAAAACTAACTTATAAAGGGCATTAATCATATCAACAAACTAATTCAGTGGATGAAGGACTACCTCCCAAAACACATCCTGTATTAAACCTTTATATTTTTTGTGTACACTCTTTTCAAGTTTGTTGCTTGTGAAGTTATGTAATAATATGTCCTTTTATAAAGCCCTAAATCCACAAAGCATGCTCATGATGCATAATACACCAGTGTCTATATGATATAATTCAAACAGATACATTTTCAAGTCAGATTTAATTAACTCGGAAATAATGAAAACACTGTCTTTTTTTAGCTTGGTGTAGTTTTGCATGTACATGTACATTTGTGACATTTTCTTTCCGATTTGATGCATTGATTCATCATAAAATTGAAAATAAAATTTAAAATAGATTGCCATTGATAGTTTCCACTAAATTAGATCATTTCAATAATAAAAAATTTGCTGTAGGCGTTGCTCTAGTAATAAGTAAGCTGATAATATTTTATATATTAATGGTTAAGGTAGAGTATAGAAACTAGTTTGAATAAATACTGTCATATTAAACATTTTTTCTATAGGTTGTATAGTAGTCCTGTATTAATATTAAACCTTAAGTTAATGTAACCTTACAATATACACCATATATTAATGGGTTTGAAAGCATAGAATGGATCCTGGTGGATAGTTCGTTTGTATGCACCACCTCAACTTGGTGGCCTATTATATTACAATCATGTGACCTGACCATTCATAAAATAGTCCTTTTCATTATTACATCTTCCTGCTTTAACAGACGTCTAACCTGAGTGTTTTCTATACAAGCATTAGGTCTAAATTGATATGGGTCACAAGTAACAGATTTTATAGCCATTTATACCAAACAGAAAATCTGTATTGAATTAGATTAATTCCAATCCAATACAACTCCTGTTATTTAATTTAATATAATTCCCCTAAATTCCAGTTGTCATTTCATGACTCATGCTAGTTAAACATTGCATAACCACACAGGATGTTCGATTTCCTAGAAAAAAGGTTTTTTATATTTGAAATTCAGTAAGGTGTGATCTTCATTCAAATCGACTAAGCCACGCTAACTTAGATATTTTGGTATGTACTGATGAACCAATGATAGTGGGCTTTCAAAGTCACATGTACATGTGCTTCATACCGGTATATTGTTAAAGGTATATGCAGGTATTATTTTAAGGCTCAGATTTATCTCTTTATTATTTAATCAATGTGAAAACCTAGTTGAACGTTTGGAGAGATTATAAATTGTGGTTTCCAAGTAGAAATCCAGGTAATTGCTTTTTGTGAATTTATTGTGGTTATTTAGTTAGCCATTATAATTGTAATTTGATCTCCATATTGTTCTGTAGTGTAATAATGTCAGTGGCACGTGCTGCACATTAAAACAAATCAATTGATTTTTTTTTAAAAATGATATTTCAACATATTGTTCTACAGGTGATTATTTGTATTTTTGCTAAATCATTTAAAGTTAAATAAAGATATAGGTGACGCATTCAAATCTCTACATGTATTTCTTGTCATATATTTGCAACTTATGGTGAATGTATAAATGTATATTACATTGTACTAAATACAATTTGTAGTGGTGGTTTGGACGGATTATGTGTGTGTGTATCTCTCCCCTCCCTCATTCTTTGTTTTTGACACCCCGCAGGGCCATACAGAATCATTTGGTGTTCTCCTCCAACAAACTAAAATGGATCAATCCTTTCAAGTTAAAGACTATATAAATGTAGAAAATTTAGTCAGTGATTTTACCACCTTCCACCTTTTATAAACATGCCTGACTTTATAGTGCATAAATAAGGTTTAAACATTGGTGCTAGGATCATCTTATAAAAGTAAATTACTTTGTGGTGAATAGATATATTTAAACAGGATTTAGAAACAGGCAATCAGATTGGTTTGTTTAATTTATACACGACGTATAGTCATGGAGACATATATCAAACAGAATTGAATTCTCATTCCAGCCCTGTAGTACATCAAAGCAACTTATCTAATATGAAGAGTCCAGGGGAAGAACGATCTAAGTCACATTTTTGTCTTTTCGCATAAAAGGCAAAACAGACTTTTGGACGCGAACAGTACAACGAGTGGGTTTAATTACAACTACGAAATGATGGTTAATACGAATCATAATTACCAGTACAACAACTGACTTCCACTTTTCAGCCAAATTAAGGTCAAATAAATACAATAGACTTGTATTGGTCCGGGAGGCCATTTCAGAAGGGTCTTGGTTCGATGTGACTTCGATCGTTTTTACCTGAAATTGATTGTTCCACAGAAAGCTTATACAATTTGCTACCAGGTGGCGCCATTAACTGGGGTTCGTTGAAAAAGTGACTTAGATCGTTCTTCCCTGGGGCTCTTCATATGTAATATTAATTGGAGACCGAATTATTGCACCAATAGTTTCAATAATCATTGGTGTTGTACCTTCACAAAATTTAAGAACTCCTGTGTACAGAAAATGGTATATTTCTCTAGTTTAAATTTGAATAAGATGAAGATGATATATTTTTGGGGTAATTTGTAAAATATCTTTTATCTCTTTCAGGTGGTTTTCATGAAGACGATCAGGATTTGGGAGACTCTATTAGATTACAACATGAAGTCAATGGATTGCGACAAGATGTTCAAAGATTACGAGCAGAATGTCAACATTGGCGCTCAGTGGCTGGACAATTAGTAAGTGTTTTATTGGTATCATCATTCAGTCAATTTCTCTCTCTAATTTCTCTTAGGCCTAGATAAGAATATTTGGTACCTGTACACGTTATAAGATTTGTTTGGAGGGGGGTGGATGGCCTAATGGTTAGCATGTTTGCGCTGTATCATAAAATCTGTCCCAAAATGACCTAAGTTTGTGTCGAGTGGACCTTAATCCCCATCTCTCTCTCTCAAATTTGTTATACCATTACATAAATAGAGGAAGTTTTGTTCTGGGTTGTGAAGTAGGGGAGCCATGTGTCGTATGAACCAGGATGTACCAGGTTCGATCCTGCTGTTTTTGGCAGAGAAAGTTCTCCTGGTTTTTCTAGCCTATTTTTGAGATGTCAGCACTTGGGGCAAGATAAAAGTGTGTAGTCGATAAGATGGCACAAACAACCCCAAAGTATTGTCCAGAACCTGTGACACTTGGAATTTGAGGCACAAATGCAGCTGAAAACTGAATTGTGACTGTGCAGGCAAACTTTACCTCATAGCACATTTCATGGCATATGACCATATTTAATAGCCCATTTGGTGCATTTTTCGGGCTTTAAAATACATGAAGGAGATTCTAACTCTAGTGTTTTTAGGTGCCGACGGCCTAATTAAGATACCGTTTAAAACGCTGAATCAGTGCAAAATTAGTCCAAAACTCTATATATACATATACAAATATTATATTTTTTTTTATAAGCCGTCTTCATTCTCCTAATTGGAGCAGAACAGTAGGACGTTAAACCCAGTTGCATTTCATTTCATTTCGTTTTTGTTAAGCGTGAATCCATGTGGTTCTTTGTGCGGAATTTAAGTTCAATCAGCATCTAAGGGCAAATGTAGGTCAATTCACTAATTCGCCATATTAATAACCTGTTAATGAACTTTACATACAGAGGCAAGGAGGTCATACGTGTTAAGGATTCAGCTAATTTTACACAAACAATGAATATTAATACTCCATATCACCCCGCCATATCACTTCTCAAACAAACAAAATGGTTTTGATTAGATTAATACGATAAATGAATGCATGCGATTAATTTCTAATTAATATCTGACTATATTTATTTATGAGTTTAATATATTGACCAAAAGGTTTATAAATCCTATAATTAATAGATTAAGACTAAAATGATACACGCACACCATATATGGGTTTAACCTATATTTAACCTTTTCGAATTTATATATTGGTTGCTAAGGAATGTCGGTCTTATTTAAATAAAGTTATGTAAGATAGAGATAGATTTGTGTCAAATATAGATTGTACACTAATGTTGGTTGTGTCTCGGCTTGGTACGAATTCAAACTCTTATCTCTAAACGAGTGATTCCTATTGGAAGATATTAGTACGAGGAATTGAAGATCGAGATAAAAGCTAGGACATGACGCTGTTATCTGCCGCGTCACCCTATGTTGCTATGTAAAATAAGAATTTTCTCCCATATCTCAATGTGAGGTTATCTATTGAGGGCTAGTAGTTTATATTGAAGACCAACCCATAATATCAATACAGGTATACGTGAGACGGAAACTAGCGGCCATTGCTGTCATATTTCCAAGGTTGAATTGATACCTTTCAAGGGTATTTAAATGACGAAACTGTTGCACTTGCAGAATTTGCATCCACTGCGGTCTTTCAGGTCAAATTTTTTAATTTTTTTTTCTTTTTTGCTCTAAGGGAATATCAAATAATTTGTTAGGAATGTCTGAAAAATCAAGTTCAGGATAGTTTTGTGTAATATTCAAAAATAACATTTAATACTACTATAGTTCAGTTGATGACCAGATTATGAATTAATGACTGACTGAGGAATAGTTCAATTAATTTATTGTTTAAATAGTAGACAGTATCAAGGTATGAAAATATGAAACCATCAGATTAAGATTCTTATGTTGCAAAGTATTTTGTGTATTTTGCAACGTGGCGAAACCTAAAAAATTATTTATTGAATTTAACTCATTTGAATAGCGTCTCAGGAAATGTAAAAATGGAAACTTATTCATGTGACTTTTTTTGAATCAGACTGTTTATTCAGATTTGGTGAATCATTGAACATTAAAACCAGCTTAATCACTTTGATAGCAAACATAAGGTGTAACATAGATAGGTTCACATCTAATGCTGGAGTAGTTGTATGGAGGTTTAAAGGGACGCTACCATGGAAATAAGGAGGAAGTATTTGCTACATATTCCCATATGAATAATAGAGTGTGGCAAAGTTAAATTATAATTTTTCATTCAAAACTGCAAAGGAATAAGTGTATTTTTGCATTAATGTGAATAGTCATTGTGCAAAATTGTGGAAATCTAACCGGCAAATTATCTGTCGATAAATTAACCCATAATTCTGGTGGTAAGTGTAATTTTAGGAGAATGGAGTATAGCTCTTTAAGGAAGTATTTCGTTTCTCTCAAGATTTGTGGTTTCGTTATCAGCTTTCATATATTAACATAAGATTAAGGGGTTAGATAAAGGACATGACCGTTGGGGTTTAAATATTGTTACTGATCATGAGTCACCTACTTTTTAAATCAAATTTTAATTTGCTTCAAACTGGAGCAATAAACAATCTTGAAGCCCTTACCACAAAATTTAGTGCAATCTCTTAAGTCAAGTTCGCGATAAACTATTCCCATAGTAACGTCTAAGATTTCTTCATAATTTTTTCTGAGTAAATTTAAACATCCCAGTGACCACATCATAGATGAAACCAATCTGATCAGACAAATTTATTTAACATTTCCGAATTCAGGAGTTTTCGGTAGATTCATTTCATTTGAACTATATCTAAACTGCAATCAGTAAATCGAAACCTGATTTAAAAAAGTATATGGCATAGACAGTAAATATTAATGGATCTGTGTGTAGTTTTTATTTATTTTTTTGTTCAGGATCCAAACTTCTAATGGGTTGTATATTTTTTGTTTATTACCTGTGTATTGATTGTTGTAAAGGGTGTGTACATGTATTTTAAGATTTATGATTGCTACACCGTCATGTGGATGGGCTAGTCGATACTTGTTGCTTTTTTACTCATGTCATTCGTCTTAATATGAAATATTAATGTCCTGGATCAATTTAGGAGATTGTAATTTCATGCATACATTTCTAAAAATATTAAATATAGACTATAATTTGGTTGAAGTTGAAAGCCACGTTGGAATCATTTTGGAATCTGTCTGCTAATGCTCGTTAATTGTAGTGTGTATTGCTGTTAATGGCATTGTTGGGCAGGTTATTAAATAGGGAGTAGGCGGGAAATGACAATTATTTTAAGAAAATGATTTTTTTGTTTTTTTTCAGTCTGGCAATCAAAGTGCAGAAGAGCAAACTAAACATACAGAAAGTTTACAACTTAAAGACAGAATACAGGTAAATTATTTAAATTGTAATGTATGAATATAGGAAAATCAACTTTCCATTAAAGCTAGAATTTTAATTGATTTAAACAGTATTTATTAATTACAGTATTTATAATTAGGACAATATACAATACATAATAAATTATATGGATTCTGAAACAAGCTATAAAGCTTTGTTTTAAATTATCAGTACAGGTAAATAGACTGAAAGTTAATGCAAGAATATAAATTGGCTAACTACTTACAGTTTATTCAGGTAAATAACCTACCTGTACTAAAAGTTGAAATTGTTGAGTCGACTACGACCTATTTTCACTACTAGATTAACAATGTACACAAGTTAGAATTAGGTTTTTGTGAATGAATGAGTTAAAATCAGATAACAATGTAATATATATAACTGCCTTCTTTTTCATTCTGTGCACTTGAAAGACTTTAATACTTTTCTTGTTCAGGAACTTCAAAATCAGTTGATCCGAGAAAAAGATCACCATCAACATGAAGTTATCTCCCTTCAAGATGTTCACCATGAAAAACTCGCTACTATCAAGAAAACCTATAAACAAGATTTGGCTCGATTGGAAGAGAAGTTATCTGAATGTAAGTTTAGTATACCTCATCTATACAATCTCTTGTAACATGGACGGGAAATCTTCCTTTGTTCTTTTCGTTGAATAAGTAGATTGTTTTCCCTCTAGTAGATTGTGTGGAGCTTAACTGTGCAATAACTAGACATGTTCAATGTTATAGCACACTTTTGCTGATTTACACTAGTTTTAGTAGAAATCATATAGAGAAGTGGGGTGGGTTTTCTGTGCAGATGTCAATGTTACAAGTCATTTATAGCACACTTCATTCGTCAACAGGTAAAACACCTCGGCCTGCGGCCTCTGGTTAAACCTGTTAACTCATGAAAGCTGTGCTATAAATATAACTTGTGTTATAAAACAAATGATTTATCTTATTTGTAAACTATAAAGAGATATGAAGTTTGTGTTTCTGACAGTAATGTACCAGATGTATTGGTATTTGTTCTATGACTGATTATTATTTTATTATTTTACAGTACAAGATAACACCAGTAACCATGGTGACAGTTCTACAGATTTACATAGTCTTACACAAGCTAAACAAACAGTAAGTCAAACTTCATAAATCATTATTATAGTAATTTGCTTGGCAATTTTCATCTAATTCTTTGAAATTGTTATCTCTCAATAAGAAGACATTGTCTGTTAATATAAATATCTTGAACGTAATCAAAAGTAGTTAACGAAACCGTGACACACAAATATATGAGCAACCCTTCAGTACTACACCACAGCAATGAATAGTGACTGGATAATCTGCTCTTTAGGGTATCATATTTGTTTCTATGTGATCATTGAATACTTTTTAGAAACATTGAGAAACCACTTCTTAGGAAAATTGACCAACCAAAGCATTAAGAATTGTAGGAGTTGGAAATGATACGTTCTAAGTAAAATTTTCATTCCCTTTATTAAACAGCTAACTATAGGAAAAGAAAATAGCCATATTTTAGTCTAAAAAAAAGTGTTTATAATGCAGTCTTTTATTCCAATATATTATAATATGTATATATATTCATTTCTTGTAGCTGGAAGAAGAAAATAAAGAAATGAAGAAACGTATTGAATCTATGAGTGTTGAGTTAGAAAAGTTTAATAATGAGATAAAAGTTAATAAAACCCAGTCACAAACATTACAATCTATTGTTAAAGGTATGGGAATTATATTTACCCTCATGTTTTGTTCTTCTCTTCTCTCTTCTATTCTTTTGGACAGTTCATACAGTCGATCATGTCAGGACAATCTAACAGGAAGTATATAGATAGAATAGGTACAAACTAGTTAATACTATATTGAATTTACAATACGAGAGTAACTTTGTTGTGGCAAAGTTTTAAAGTTGTATCAGGTGGTTAAAACAAGAGTAAGCATACTTTGGCTCGCTGGCTAAAACTAGTATATGTACTTGCTTGTTGAGACTCTCTCTCACAATTGGTCGACAACACCATTATTTTTACATTTGAGACATTTATGTTGTTTTTTTTTATGTATTTTGTAGATTTAGAAGAAGAGAAGAAAAAGTATGAAGTAGAATTAGTCCAGGTGCGATTAGCTTTATATGAATATAAACAAAGATTATTGGATCAACTGGATTCCGATCATGTAAAATATAATAATCAAACTTCCTAGTTTGAATCTTTTAGCTTGATTTCTATAATAACTTAAATCTTCTGTATGAAGATGGAAATCTAATCTTGAATGTATGAAAAATGGCATGAATCTAACTCATAATTCTTTCTATGGTCCAAAACATTAGTTTGATAATTCGTATCTTATTGATGTTTTGAAATTAATGTGACCGTGCAAACTCTTACATATCATAATGTTTAATAATAGCATTAATAGCATATGTAACATTATGTATTCACTGATTTTGAAACAGCCTAAATGTGAGTACATCAATGATGCAATGGAAAAATGTGCCATGTATATATACTGATAGTGTATCTAATTTTAGTAGAGCATGCAATACGGAAGCGTCCAAATAATATATTGGCAATTGCCGGTGTTCATCGTATGATTCTTCTGTTTCTTAGGGAATTTAAAAGGAAGATTTTGTAATATAAATTGCCTTAACTGTTGTCTATATGTAGCCAAGTTGTAAACTAACACCTCATGCATATTTTAACTAAACAAGAAGATCTTCAAATGTTAATAGTAGTATTTGGAATGAATAATTAAAAGCATGGATTTCTGACCTGTTAAAAGAATAAAAAATGACCTAAATATATATTTTATTATCATTTAAAATTGAATGAAAAGCATGAATATCTGTCCTGTTAAATAAATAAAAATGGTCTAAATATATATAATATTTTAAAATTGAAGAAAAGCATGAATTATCTGTCCTGTTAAAAGAATAAAAATGACCTAAATATATATAATATTTTAAAATTGAATGAAAAGCATGAAATTTCTGTCCTGTTAAATAAATAAAAAAAGACCAAAATATTTATTATAATATATAAGTTGGTAAATCATTTTATTACTGATAAATAAATACTGAAATAATGTAATATTATAAAATTTCACATCAAATTTTAAATTATTCCTGAGAAATTTTCATATTTATTTTTAAATCAAGTTTTTAAAAGACTGAATAATAATATTATGTGTAAGATATGGATAATTGGTAATTTTAGACAGATATAGTTGACTGGATAACTGAAATGAAAGAAGTGACATATGAGTCAGATCATGATGCTGCTGTAAAACGCCTTAAACTTTTAAATGAAACACAAGACTTAGACACCAAAATAAATGAGGCAGGACGGAAGGTATTAATATAATTATAAATGTTTACGAACATATTGATTGTTGAGAGAAAATATTGTTTTATTAATAACTTAGTTAAAACATCAAGATAGTCGAGATAGTAGACAGTCTATCAGATCCCATGTATTATTGAATTTACTTGTAAGTGTTGAAATGTTAAAATATTTCAAAACAATATTTTAATCATATGGATTTTGTCTTCTCACTAATCAAAATAACATAACAACCCAATTCAATGCTTTAGTGGGACCTAATCAAAGAAATTTATCTCCTTTAATTTAATGATAATGAAACAATTGGTACATGCTCATTCCAGCTACTAAAACACCCTAAACTTGTTAAATATCTTCAAAAATTTTATTTCCATTTATTTATTTTGTGTACAGTTACGTCAAGCTAAACAAGAAGCTAGTGAACTACAAGTGGAGGAGAAACCAAGAAGAGTTGAGAGTGAATACTCTACATCTAGTATGTATTATGTTATTAAAATATTATTAAACATATTAAATTTCATAATCAGCTTCCTCTGAATAAATTCTATCACAAATTAACAAAAGCTAATTTCTACTTTTTACCATATGATTTCCTGCTAGATAATTTATAAGCTTACACACTTTGTAATGGAATCCTTTTCTTCTAGAAAACACAATTTTGTTATTTCAATCATTTTCTAGCTGTTGTCTATTTTTCCACAGATATAATAATGTTTATATATTTATGATACAGTGATATATCTACTTTGCTTCACCTACTGTACTAATAAAACCTATATCCATCCAAATTTTTAACCTAACCTTTGTCCTAAAACCTTAATTTTCCCACATATAATGATATATACATAATGAGGATTATATGATGATACAGTGAGGGTATGATATTTCTGATATATGATATATCTACCTTGCTTCGCTCGCCGTACTGATAGAACTTATTTGTTCAAATCATTAACCTAACCTTTGTTGTAAAACCTCCCCCACATGTAATGATGTACATATGAAGGTTTATATGATGATACAGTGAGGGTATGATATTTCTAATATATGATATATCTACCTTGCTTCGCTCGCCGTACTGATAAAACTTATATCCTTCCTAATATCGTTAACCTAACCATTGTCTTAATAAAACCTTCCCGATAATGATATATAAGGGTTAAATGATGATACAGTGAGGGTATGATATTTCTAATATATGATATATCTACCTTGCTTCGCTCGCCGTACTGATAAAACCTATATTCTTCCTAATATCGTTAACCTAACCATTGCCCTAAAAACCTTCCCCACATATAATGATGTACATATGAGGGTTAAATGATGATACAGTGAGGGTATGATATTTCTGATACATGATATATCTACCTTGCTTCGCTCGCCGTACTGATAAAACCTAGATCCTTCCATATCTCCAAATCATTAACACCTAGTCCCTAGGACTAACCTCTGTTGTAAAACCTTCCTTATAATCATGTATAATCTCCAAATCATTAACATCTAACCGATAGTGTAAAACCTTCCATACATAAAAATGACCAGGGTTTATATGATGATACAGTGAGGGTATGATATTTCTGATATATGATATATCTACCTTGCTTCGCTCGCCGTACTGATTAATCCTTGATTTATTTTGTCCTTAACCAAATCTTTTTAAGACTTTTGTATAAAAATCGTGAAATATTGTGGTTGCCTGACTGATAAAACCAAATCTTTATCTTAAATTCATTGCTGTATAGTATAATCATGTGCTTTATTTACATGCATTATTTGTAATATTATTCCAATAAGAAGAGAAAGTAACTGTGACTACTATCAACTATTTAATCCTAAATTTCAAAGACTTTAAAATAGTAATAATACTTTAATTTATTCGAGATGGGTTGGATGGCCGAATGGTTAGCACGTGTGCGCTGTGTCATAAGGCCTGTCATTGAGTCAACTAGCGTGGTTTTGATTCCCCGGTTGTACGTGACAATAATAATAATAATAATGAAGTTTTATATAGCGTCTTCTCCATGTTGACACATGCTCAAAACGCTTTTTGTAATGGCTCTACTGGTAAAACTGTTGAAACAGGAAAGTCTTTAGTGCAGATTTAAATTGATTAAAAGTTTGTTGATTCTTGATCTGTTGTGGAAGTTCGTTCCATAATCTAGGATCAGCTGAACTGAAAGACCTATACCCATATGACTTCAAATTATATCTTGGAACAACTAGTGACTGTTTGTTTTGAGAGCGAAGTGATCTAATAGGGTTGTAGTCATATAAGAGTTCAGATAAGTATTGAGGAGCTGCATTATTGCGACATTTATACACTAATGTTAGTATTTTGTATTTGACTCGCGCCTCAGCAGGTAACCAATGTAAAGAAGCCAGCACATTCTGGATGTGATCAAACTTATGTGTCCTTGTTACTATTTGGGCTGCAGTATTAAGAACCTTTTGGATCTTGGCTAGAAATGCTTGTGGGATTCCATAGAGTAAACTATTACAATAATCAATCCTTGATAAAATAAGTGATCTCACAAGTAGTTTACAAGCGTCAGCAGTGAGATAGTTTCTGATGTTGCATATACAGCGTAGATGATAGTAGCATGTACGGCATACCATATCAACCTGAGCGTCCATTGTCAGAGACGGATCAGACAAGGATTAGGGTCGCCTGTCTAAACTCGTGGGTTTTCTCCGGGTCCTCTGGTTTCCTCCCACTGCTAAAGACCCCTACGAGCAAGCGAATTATTGAAATAAAATTAAACCATATGTTAGTCCCGAAATGACCTAGTTTGTGTCAAGTGGACGTTAAACCCCATTTCTCTCTCTCCCTTTAATTTATTTGATATATTATTAATAAATACATGTTTTTGTATATTTCAGCAGATTTAGATGTTGATCAGCTAAAAGAGGAGAATATAAAACTGCAAGAAGAAGTATCTTCTTTACATAAACAAAATCGTAAACATATCGTTGAAAAAGATCTTTATGAAGAGAGATTAAAATCTTACAGAAGACGGCTAGCTGAAATACAAGGTGAGATTCAGTTGAAATAGATTTGTATTAGTTTTTCTCTGCAATGACTTATTCAAATATTTCTCATCCAGTAAAAATCTTGGTATAGGATTGCCATGGGCACCGAGGTTTAAACATACTTTGCTAAAAACATGTTGCTCAAAATGTAATTTGTAATAAAAATTTCACCACTATTTTTTTGAAGATATAAAAGATATATATTTAATAGGTAGTGTAACACAACACAGATCGTACAGAGATAACTGCAAAGTTAGTAACAGCTGTCTAGTTATTCGGGTGGGACAAAAAAAACGAGGACCCGTGTACACATTAGTGTGCACGTAAAAAATCCCTGACAGTTGGAATTCGATATAAGAGTAGGCCGTAGTGCCGCTGTCCGGGCAAAATTTCCCTCATAGCACATTGTATGGCGTATGCCTGTCTTCTTTAGCCCAGTTCGGAGCAGAACAGTAGGACGTTAAACCCCATTTCATTTCATTTCACTTTTGCAAAGTCAGTATAAATTGATGATAATTCCTTTGATTTATAATACTGTAATTATTTTCTTACAGATGATTTTGAAATGGATGAAGAGTTTGATGACTCTGAATTTGATTTAGGACAAAAACCTATGGTCTCTGGTATTGATTCCAATTCTCCGTTAGACGAACAAGTACGCCATCTACAGAGTCAGGTTCAACAATATCAGAATGATATAGAACAATTTGAATATGTTAAATGTGATTGGCAGCTAGAGAAAGAAGCATTAGAAGACGTTTTGATGAAACTACGTGAAGAATTAAAACAAGCTGAATCATCATTAGCAGTAGCACAAGCACAACAGGTTAGTAATTTTGTCAGTTTTTAATGTAGATGGTGAACTGGTAGATATAAGTTGTTTAGGTACTTTTATCAATACCATTTTCATTAGTCTGACTGTGGCAGATCAATAGGATGTTCAATATCCTTTTTGATCAAAATTTGATTTACTTCACTTGAAACAAACAAAGAATGAAGAAATAAATTAAAAACAAACCTGTCATTGGCAAGGGCCAAGGGCTCCTTTCTGATAATTCTTTAAGATTTCCACACTTACTCATGTTCATTTATTCTTGGTCACCCTCCTAATAAATTCTTGATATAAGCTGGTCATTCTTTGTTAAAAACTTATATTATGACAATGATGGGAAGGTGATGGTGCATAGTTTGGAATATAAGATACCATTTTAATGAATAAATAAACCACAATTTTACATTGATAAAAATACCTTTGGTTGGTTTTATATTGTTGTGGGTGTAGTTCAAAGTTTTTTCTTTGTTGTTTTGTTTTATAACAGTCTAGCTGTGTACATGTAGTAGAAAAATACAACAAAGTGTTAGCTATATGTAAAGCTACCCTAAAATGGGATGTTCTTCAAAAGTTAAGCATGTCACAGATTTGAGAGATTGCTTGTATAATTTCCCTATCCTAAAATGGGATGTTCTTCAAAAATTAAGCATGTTACATATTTGAGAAGTTGCTTGGATAATTTCAGTCTATGAAAAGTTTGGGTTATTTGCTTTGTTGTATTTTGTTGTTGGATGGTATTGATGTTGTGCTATGTTGTATTTAATGTAGGGTTTAGAAGAGGTAGCTAGACAGGGTACACAGCCATCTCTTATTGTTGATGTAAGTTTTAATATAAACCCCTTTACCGCGTTTTGATTGTCAAAATTCAACAGTTCTATCAATCCATAAAGCTTACCTAGTCGAGACTGAAATTTACCCTGCTTGTTTTAAAATGGTCATAACCACTCCTTTTCTTAAACCAATCTTCATATTTCCTTCATTTTGACTCCATAAAGCTACTGATGTTGTAAAATAGCCTATATATTTGTTTTAATGGGCATTTATTCTGAATGTTCAATTACCATTTCAAAGATCTATACCTTTTGTAATGGATTTTTTTGGTGTTTTTTAAAGGATGCTACAGAAACTGATGAGGACACTGCTAATAAATTAGCCAGTCAAATCAATGAATTAGTCAATGGTAATCAACAGTTAGAAGAAGAAAGGGACCAGTTATTACAACAAGTGGTAAGTTCTTATATACATGTATATCTGGGGGGGGGGGGTGGATAGCCGAATGGTCAGCATGCATGCGCTGTATCATTGAGTCAACTGGCATGGTTTTGATTCCCCGGTTGTATGTGACAAGGAGTAGGGTTGCCTGTCCAACCTCGTGGGTTTACTCCGGGTCCTCCAGTTTCCTTCCACGGCTAAAGACCCCTACGCACAGGAGAATTATTGAAATAAAATTGTACCATATGTTAGTACTGAAATGACCGGGTTTGTGTCGAGTGGACGTTAGACCCCATTTTCTCTCTCTCTCTCTTATCTAGAAGCACAGGTTTATTTTTACTAATTATTCTGTGATGTGTAAATATACCAGGCTGGTGTACAAGCAAAGAATTGCTGAGAGTTACAAGTAGAGAGTTTCTGCTCTGCCAGTTATTTCATATTTAAACCTGCTGTATTGTAGCTAGCTGTAGTTATTACAATCAGACTCATGAAATGAAATGGGGTTTACAATCAGACTCAGTCAGTTGTATTTCAATAGAAACTTGAAACATTGCTTTTGTTATTGTAGTGATACCATTACTGGGATTCTAATCTTAATGGTGACACACCAAGTACCAAATGCATGTGTAAGCATTTTTGTAACTTGGCCCATGGTTCTGAAATGGCAATCATGGTTATATGGAATAAAGATATAATGAAATCTAATGTTTTTGTAGACTGTAATATGTTTTTGATTTGAATAGTATCAAATAGAGATTATAACAATGTTCTTGTATTTTTACAGACATCATTAGAAGATAAAATACAGGAACTAGAAATAGAAACCATCAATCTAAATACTAGTCTTAGTCAACAACAGTCACTTTCAGGTATAGTTTGATTTATTTGAATCACTGCTACCAGTACTATTACGAAACACAATGGTTACATGTTGTCATCGGTGTTGGGACGAGGCGCCTGACAAGGAATATCATCTAGTCAATCGGGAGTGACAAAAAACTGAGGTCCTGTGTACCCATTGGCATGCACATAATGCCAACTATTAAAAACCTTAATAAATAGATATTTGATGAATCTAGACAGAGATGTTGCTGTCAGGACAAGAATTTCCCTCACAGCACACAGCATGCCTCATTTCATTTCATTTGAGGTTAAAGTGTATGTTATGTAAACTGGTTAGTGACACCCATCCATAGACTTTATGAAAGATTACATCTTGTAATTCCCACCACAGACTTTACAAAAAATTACATCTTGTAGTTGCCCCAACAGAGTTTATGAAAGATTACATCTTGTAGTTGTCTCCACAGACTCTATGAAAGATTACATTTTGTAGTTCCCACAACAGACTTTACAAAAAATTACATCTTGTAGTTTCCCCCACAGAGTTTATGAAAGGTTACATTTTGTAGTCCCCTCCACAGACTTTCTGAAAGATTATATCTTGTGTAGTTCCCACCACAGACTTTATGAAAGATTACATCTTGTAGTTCCCACAACAGACTTTACAAAAAATTACATCTTGTAGTTGCCCCCACAGAGTTTATGAAAGATTACATCTTGTAGTTGTCTCTCTAGACTCTATGAAAGATTATATCTTGTAGTTCCCACCACAGACTTTATGAAAGATTACATCTTGTAGTTCCCACAACAGTCTTTACAAAAAATTGCATCTTGTAGTTGCCCCCACAGAGTTTATTAAAGGTTACATCTTGTAGTTGTCTCCCTAGACTCTATGAAAGATTATATCTTGTGTAGTTCCCACCACAGACTTTATGAAAGATTACATCTTGTAGTTGTCTCTCTAGACTCTTTCTGAAAGATTATATCTTGTAGTTCCCACCACAGACTTTATGAAAGATTACATCTTGTAGTTCCCACAACAGTCTTTACAAAAAATTGCATCTTGTAGTTGCCCCCACAGAGTTTATTAAAGGTTACATCTTGTAGTTGTCTCCCTAGACTCTATGAAAGATTATATCTTGTGTAGTTCCCACCACAGACTTTATGAAAGATTATAAATCTTGTAGTTCCCACCACAGACTTTATGAAAGATTACATCTTGTAGTTTTCACCACATCTTGTAGTCATGAAATAAATGTTATACTTTCTTTACAGGTGATATTGATGAAGAGCTTAAAGAAAAAGATAAAAGATTACAAACATTACAACAGGAGAAAGATGAATTAGAGACAAGTTTAGATCAACTTGATTTACAGCATCAAGAGGAACAGACACAGTTAATCACTATTAAAGATCATCTCGCTAGAAAGGCAGATGAATTGGCCAAACAGCTCAAAGAAAATGAAACAATCATTGCTGATTTGACTCAGAAACTGAACTCCCAATCAAATGAATCTGAAAAAGATAATTCAGCCATGACTAAAGATTTGGAAAACAAAGTTGAAAAATTAACAAACGATCTTAGTCGAAGTAATGCCACATGTGACCAATATGCCAAAGAAATTGATGCTTTGAAAGATAAATTACAAAATGGTGCTGTGGCTGAAAAAGATAATTCAGCCATGACTGAAGACTTGGAAAACAAAGTTGAAAAATTAACAGACGATCTTAGTCGAAGTAATGCCACATGTGACCAATATGCCAAAGAAATTGAAGCTTTGAAAGATAAATTACAAAATGGTGCTGTGGCTGTTAATGATCTACATATGGATATACGAGAATTAGAAAGCTCTCTACAAAAATATAAAGATGAACTTGCCCACAAGTCTTCCAAGATGAAGGAACTAAAAGATGCAAATGTGAAACTGAAAGAGGAGAATCAAAACCTAGAGGATAAAATAGAAGATTTGGAAGATGAGGTTGAAAAATGGCAGTCAATAAATGAAAAGAATCGAGTTGGTCAGACATCTAGCAATTCTAATTTTGAAGCTGACTTCAAACGATATGATGAACAATTGGCTGAAGCAGATGCAAGGTTGGAAGAAGCCACTGCTAAAAAAGCTGAAACTGATAATACAGTTCAAGAATTAACCAAGTTAATTGAAAAACTGCGAAGAGAAAATGATCAGTTGATGACTCAAGCTCATAATTCATCTATAGAAGTTGAAACTCTTGCCCAAGCTTCTCCTGTGTTAAATTCCACTCAAAACACAGATCTAGAAACACAGTTAGATGCAATGTCGTCCGAGAAACAACGTCTGGAGAAAGAACTTGACCTCTTAGAGCAGAAATTATCCAATCAGACAAAACATTACGAAAAATATATTAAAGAGTTGGAAGAGAGTAAGAATATGGACGAAAGCACCTTGCAACAAGAACATCAACGTCTTGCCCATATCCTACACGAGAAAGAAAGAAGAATATCAGAGCTCAATTCACAACTTGAAGAGGTTGAAACTGAGTTGCAGGATACCAAAGAAACCATGAAAACGGCTGTGGAGAGTCAGAATCAGATAGCAACCATACTTCAGGAAAAGGAAGAAAAAATTCAGAGCTTGATGAAAGTCGAAGTTGAATGTGATGAGCTAAAACAGAAGGGAAAAGAATTAGAAATAACTTTACAATCTATGCAGCATTTAGAGATTGAAGTCCAAAGATATCAATCTTTAACTGAAATCCTGAAAAAAGACCTAGAAGAAGCTCAAGCTCTGGCTCAACAAAACACAGAAGCATTAAATGAAAAACATAAAACATTAGCTGTGATAACCGATCTCGAAACCGAATTGACTGTAGCTACTGAAAAGATCACAAGTCTGGAGGAAATTATTAAGAAACAAGAGTTAACAATAGCTGATCATGTCAAAGGTATTGCATTGCTCAACCAGAAAATAGATGAACAACGCCATGAATTACAAGTCGAGAAAGGTATAATAAGTCAACATGAAGACTGTAATGCTGTTCTTCAATCAGCTCTGACTACGAAAGAAGACGATTTAAAAAAACTAGGAAGAAAGCTAATGCGTGCTTCAAGTTTTCTCAATGATGATCAGAAAGCTGGTATTGAAATCGATCGTGATCCTGATTACACATTACCAGCTATAGAATACCTTCAAGATAACAATACCAACAATACAGTTAATGGTTTTGATGAAGAAATGGACCAAACAGATAAAGTCAGCAAGCATCTGGACCAGTTACAAGGAAAACTTGGTGAAAAAGATCAAATTATCACAGAATTACAACAGAAGAATTCATCACTGCTCAAAGTTCTGGAATCAAAATCCTTGACATCACAAAATGGTGAGGGTAGTATCCTGGATGTACGCAGACTGGAAAATGAAGTAAAGAAACTAGTTACTGAAAAAGAACAAATTTTAGCCATAATGAATGAGAAATCACGGGAATCAAGCTCCTTGAAGGCGGAAGTACATCGCTTAATGAATATTGTTTCTGCTGAAAAAACAGCTTTGAATAAACTGCAGAAGGACAACCACGAACTCACACAAAAACGTGACGGTCCCAGTCCAAATGATGACATGCAGAAAGCAGCCTTGCAGCAATTGTCCAGACTTATTCGGGATAAAGATGTAGAAATAGAGGCCTTAAAACAAAAGAACGAAACATTGTTAGCAGTTCTTCAAGATTCTTCCACGGATAACAGTAACAATCAGTTGAGTACTTTATTATTGGAGAAAGAAAATTTAAGTAAGAGATGTGCTGGTCTGCAGAGTCAGAATGAACAGATGATCGTATACCTCAACCAAAAACATCAAGAAAGCGTCACATATCACAATGAAGTTCAGCGTCTGTCGGTTATAATATCAGAGGAAAGCCAAAAGTACGAAACCATTAAAGAAGAATATGCCAGAATAGTTCCACAATTTGAGGAGAAGAAAGAGGCATTACTGAAACTTCAAGATGAACTTATAACCTACAAACAACGATTTAGCGAATTAGAAATTAGGTATGGCGAAATGTTACAGAGATCAAATATCAAAGACACTGTTGATGTCACAAGTTTTAATGCCAAAGAAGATGAACTTAAAAGAACTCAAGATAAATTTCAAGATTTACAAAAATATGTAAAGGAGAAAGACAGCAAATTACAGTCTCTAAGTCAGCAACGTAATGAAATGGAAAATGAGTTGGTTGGAAAAGAGGCTGATCGAATTAGCTTGAAGAAGCAGGTTGAACATTTACAATTTACTGCACAAGGTCTTCAGACAGAACTTTTTGAATTACGATCAGAAAATTCAAAATGGAGTCAAAATCGATCAGAACAAGATTCGGAACATCTGATGTTAAAAGAGGCCAATAATAAACTTAGTTTATCACTCAGGGAAAAAGAGTTAGAATTGTGTAGCATGATGGACAAATGTGATACATTGACCAATTTGATGCAGGATCATAGAAAGGATCAAGGTGAAGAAGGTCAGTTAGTTCACCAGGAGCAAGTTGACCGATTGGTTCAACAGATGGACGTATTAAGACAACAATCTGTAGAGTTACAACAAGAACGTGATCAGGCGTTATTAGCTCTACAACAACAACAAGAAAACAACAATAAATTAATTAAAGAGGTAAGCACATATTGCTTTTGAAAGCTTGCCCCATGGTTTTATAATTTCAAACTTTCAGATTTGCTTTCCTGCCTCTGACTCGAAATCTGAAACATTTCACATCATTTCTTGTTTTTAACTAAAGGAATAGTAGATCATCTTTTGACAACCTGGCCCCAAGTTCACAAAGCATTCACGACTTAAGAATTTACTCACCTTTCAATCACTGTTTATGAAAAATATCTTTAATCCAGAAACACAAAACTTTGCACATAGTTTCTTATTGATGTGATACATTAAAACAACAAAAGTTTTATAAAGGGCAAGATTTTAGTTCAAATAAGGCAAACGATTTTGAGTAAATTCTTAACTTAAGTCTGAAAATGCTCTGTGAACTCGGGGCCCGATTAAATTATTATTTGAGTAAATTATTGATGTAAATATTTTACAGGTAGAAAGATTGCAAGAGAAAGAAGGTAAAATGACGAGAGAATTAGACAGATTAAGAACACATCTAATACAGGTAATAATAATAATAAATAATTTAGGCCCCACACCTATTGTATACTTAAATTACATAGTGGTAGTTTAACTACACATTATGCATAATACATCTATAGATATCAATGAAATAATGAGAGTGCAGACAGTAGAAAACTACTGAAACCATCTGTCTGTAACGGGCACCAGGATCTTTCTTCTATGTCTTGTTGGTTTAAGTGTGTTGTTATAGTTATTAATGTTTAACATTCACTTTCACCGAAGGTGATATCGCAGACAAGTTGTCTTATTTTCAATTTTTTATTATCTTAGTGCACACGGAGGTGTCTTTCCTGTAGGGGAAACTGGAGCACCCAGAGTAAACCCACGACGTTGAGAAGGCACCCCTATCTCCAAGCCACATACGGTCACACCAGAGATCAAAACCACAACCACAACCAGAGGTGACTCCCCAGCTAGAAGTCGAAGCACGACACTTTAGACCACTAGGCCATCCCAACTTTCCCCTGTTGGTTTAAAACATTCAGTTCCAGTTATGAATACTTTAGATCTTTGAGCGAATAATTCATACATTACAATATAAATGTAAATCATTTCCTCATATTTTTTTTATTAAAGATTGAAGAGGGTTATACAAGAGAGGCATTAGATTCAGAAGAAAGAGAAAAAGAATTAAGAAACAGAGTAGCTATAGCTGAAGAAAAACTTCTCTCTACTTCAACTGATGTAGAATCTGCTAGGTATGTACTGTCTGTACTTTGTATTTTTTATTTTTTAAAAACTTTATGTGGTCACTTAACTAATTTCCCTGAATGAATTTTAGGAAGATATGTGATATGTGAATACATTTAGGGTAAAATAAATTTACTTTGAAATTAGTGAGAGCAAGAAATATGAGATCAAGTGTAAGCTGATTTACTTTGTTAAAGGTCATGATCAGATTAGAAGTTGAAGGTCATGATCAGATTAGAAGTTGAAAAAGGGTGAAGGAAGGTCTTTCAAAACTTGTGGAAATTGACTCAATGAAATAAAATCCCAAGATAGCCGAAAATGTTTTCACCTTCACCTTCCAACTATTATTTACATCTGTGTGTATTTATCTTATTTCTAATCTGTTTTATTACAGTCAACATATGTCTATACAAATAGAAGAATTAAAATATCAACTAGAGATTGTATCTAGTCAACGAGATGCAGCGTATAGTCAGGTGACAGGCATGCAGGATCAATGTCAACAATATGCTTCTTCATTGGCTAATCTACAATTAGTTCTAGAACAATTCCAACAAGGTAATCATTCTGTATGGCATCTTGTCAACTATTTCTATAATGGGGTTAATGTCCACTTCCTTATTAAAAGGTGCATGATTTTGTAGATAATGTATTCTTACTTGATTCAAAATATTATATTTATATAGCATATAAGGTGAAACATACTTGATGGTGTTTAATGGTGGGGAGGTGCTAGAGCAGGGCAAAGCATAGAGGCATGTTTTGAAGAGGTGACATTTTTTGTCTGCTGTATTTTTTAAAAAATGTTGACAAAATTTTATTTTTCGACAAGACTGCTTGCTGTCAGAAAGTCTGATTAACGTATATGGTGTTAGTTGATTGGCAGCTGTAAAATCAATTATCTGATAATTGGTGTGTTTAATTTAGAAATGAGAAGTTTACAGTTAACTAAGATTGTAGTAATTTGATTGGATAATGTTAGATTGATTTTAATGCTTAGCCAATTAAATTTAAGTATCTACTAAAATTTGGATTTTATCTTTAGTTAAGATTTCGAGAAACAGGGCCCAGTATTATATCCAGTATTAATGTTGACATCCTTCATATTTTTAGTATGCATTAATTTTCTTCTACACAGTTTTGTTCACCATCTTGATTGCTATATCAACATTTTTTTTCTGAAATGTGCCTAGCACTGTTTAATGATTTCATCCCCTAGTTTCAATCCTGGTTGTTAAAATGGCTTTCACCAGGTTGTTCTATCTATACTTACAGATAAAGAATGGCAGATCGCATCAGAATCTGAGAAATATCAGGAAGAAATACAATCATTAAAACAAGAATATGGTTCTGTACAGAATACTCTTATAGAAACACAGGTAATAAGATTAATTACAGACAATACAACACACAGAGAGAGAGGGACAAGTGGGTTTAACGTCCACTTGACCCATAATATGGTTCAATTCTATTTCAATAATAGGCCTCCGTGTAGAATCGTTACCCGTGGAACGAAACCAGAGGACCTGGACAGATGACCTTACTCTTTGTCACGTACCATTTTTGGATTGAAATCATGCCACTTGACTCAATGACAGACCTTATCATCTAAAGCGAGAGAAAGAGAAATGGGGTTTAATGTCAACTTGACACAAACTAGGTCATTTTGGGACTAACACATGGTGCAATTTATTTCAATAATTTGCTTGCACGTAAGGGTCTTTAGCAGTGGGAGGAAACCGGAAGACCCAGAGAAAACCGCCAGTTGACTCAATGACAGACCTTTGATCCCCCCCACCCCCTGTAGTTAATAGCAACACAGGTTATTTCTCCAAAATAAAGCCCTTTTGACTAATATATCTTGGATTCACTATAACATGGGTTTCATCAGTGGAATCAGCATGTATGGAGTATATTGTCATCAGTAAAGTGTAATTCTCAGCTTACCTCACAGCTAAAATGACTTTTACCTTGCTTAAAAATGTGATGATTCTACTGCTCACCATGTCATTCAGTTGTCAGGATGTGCTTTGATCCGGTGACAATTGATTGCAAGTTTGTCATAATGACGTATTTATGTTTATTTTTATAGCAACAATTAGAAGAAGCATCAGAAGGTTTAGAAGCTGCTGACAGATTATCTCAACAGTTAGATAGAAAAGAAGAAGCTGTTCAAGCATTACGAGATGAGGGTAGGATATGTTGTCATGTTTTATATCATTCATCATGTTATTAATAACCAACTCCCATTTTCTAACAAAAAATATTCAATTGGAATAAAAGAAAATTAACAATTTTATTATGTTAACCTTGTAGTTGACAGTTATGTCAGTTCAAGTTTTGAATTATCAAGAATTGGTTTTATTTTAACATTTGTTCAATTTTTTTTTCTCATTGATTTGCTTATTTTTTAATTAATAAGATTTAGCACTAACCATTTGAGCTATTTCGCTAACATTTAACTCTTAAACCTATAAATTAGTTCACTTATAGCAATAAACATGTAGCACTCAGTCAAATTACATAGTCTAGAAATCAGTCAGATTATATAGATAAACAGTCAATAAATTACATAGTCTAGCAATCAGTCAAATTACATAGTCTAGCAATCAGTCAAATTACATAGTCTAGAAATCAGTCAGGTTATATAGATAAACAGTCAGTAAATTACAGTCTAGCAATCAGTCAAATTACATAGTCTATCTAGCAGTCAGTTAAAAAACCCCATAGTCTAGCAATCAAATTATATCGAGTAAAACATTTGTTTTTGTCATATTAGAATTGGTTGCATTTGATTAATATGACATCGGAAAATACATATAGATACTAAATTATACACTTCATTTGACAAATCTTGAGTTTTAGTCATGATCCTTAATTTGATTTAATAAATATCATTTACCAATCAACCAGTTCATATCAATTTCACTCTTCCTTATATGGTGGTGCACTTCACGCCTGCTCTTTAAACTACACACCTTCCAAAACATCCTATATCCTCATCCCGTACCCCCATTCCCCTTACCTTGCCCTATTCCCATTTACCTTCACATCATACCTCAAGGGTTGCTAACTGCCTGGGTGAATAATTCAAGCTTTGTGTGGAAAAAGGCATTTTAAAATTAGCTTTCATGATTCTTCTTTTTTTTTTGGCTTTATCTTAGAATTTAAAATGTCCACTGCATTAATTATAGACTTTCTTTATTGAAAAGCTTGCTTCGTTTGCACATTTTTAAAAAAAAATGCTATCTTACAAATTTAAATGCTTTTTAGAATTTTATGAAATCAGATTTGCACTTTTTCTTGAAATTTTGTTTTTGATGCGCTATTTCTCTTCATAATTAAAACAGTAATGTTCAAAATGGTCATTTAAGCCTTTTAGGGTTATTACAGCGAGTCTCCATGATTTCTTAGATATTATGTAGGGTTACGTGCCCCTGGTTATATAATATCAGCTGGTAATCCTGAGTCATATGATTGGTTCTCTGGATGCTGGTCGATATTAAACAAACAGGTCAGCCAATCAACAGGCAGTTAGTTTATACTTGGGGTTGTGATATCATCCAATCATCCTCTGCATGTTATCATGAATATTCTATTTGTTTTATTTTTGAATTATGCATGTTTTAAGTAGATATTTTCTGCAAAGAAATGAATTAAGTGAAGAGTTATTGTATATGAGATACTGACCTTGTACAGCACAGCTTATAGTATATATGAAAATAAACTTGGACAGAGCTGTTCACACCAGAATGTTCTTAGCAGAAGATGCTTATTACGGTGTCATGGTCAATATGGCCGATACGGAACTGATGTATATTGTGGTTTATTTTGGTGTGACTTCCGTTTTTTTTAAAGTTAATACACAGACTTATCATTTGTTGCATTAACTTGAATAACATTTGCTATTAATTCCAATCATTATTGATTAATCCATTAAAAACTTTAACAGTGATTTGAATAAGCTTGAAAGTAATGCTGCAATGTTGTAATCAAAATGAAAGTAGAAATTTAGTTTGTGTTGTAATCGCTAAGTTTGAAAAGGGCTGTAACCGAACGTGTATAATAATTAAAGAATTGACCTTTTGCTTCCAAAGATGGCAGTATATATACATGAACAGTTTTGTTTTTTTTCTAAAATCAAAAACAATAAATTAATGACCTATCTTCATTATCCTAGATGAGGCAGAAAAGTCAGACGTTAAACCTCATTTCATTTCTAAATTAATCAACGTAAAAATGATGAAATTAGGCACGTACTAGTTGAGATAATTTGGAGAGTTTTTTTGGCATTTCTGATTGGTTGAGATTTTCATTCATCCTTGATGTTTATTTAATCTCAGCTGGTAATTCTGAGTTTTTTTCGATCCATGTCTCAAGTTACCCGCCGAGATTACATAAATATTTGGCCTTGCAGCATGAAAATTAATGCACTTTTTGTAATAATTTTTAATCACTACTTGTTTTTATTGCATGCTTCGAGTTCCATATATCACACACAGTGCCTGGCATGGAAATTTGTTTTTGTCAACATAATATTTGATTAATCATTGTTTTTAATTGTTTGTTGGTTTGTGGTGGTATTAACAACACAATATATTTGGATTAACATCATTGTTTTTTTTATTAATTCTCTAATAGTTTGTGGGGGGTTTGTGGTCTTAAGCTAAACAGCTATTTGTAATCTATCGCATGTGTGTAAAAGAATTTGTTAAATTCATTATTGAAATGTTAAACATTTTTCGTTTGGTGATTGGGAGTTGTTGTTTTAGCTGTATATTTTTATATTGAATGATAATCTGATATATGGTGATCTATTGTCATGTATATGTGTGTATTCCAACAAAAGGTCAGATTTGTTTTTTTATTTTGTTGATTCTTGTGAGTTACAGCTATATTTAAGTAATCAGTGTATAGAATTACTGGTAAACATAGTTTTGTTCAGAAAGAGTTTGTTGATAGTTTATTAGGTGTAATTTTGAAACTTTTATAATTTAACATTAATTTAGCTATTCTTATAATTAACACTAAGCTTTTTTTTACAAATTGTGTTTCCGTGTTTTTTTATATCTAACAATGTATATAGTTTATATGTAGTAGTGGAAGCATGATTCTGTCTTGGTTTGTCTCAAATGTTTTTTGTTTCACCAAATTATTTGGCCAAAATTGATATCTTGTACGTACATATGATCTGAACAATATAAGATCTTAAATCAACTTTTCCCCCGAGGCAGTTGTCTGAGTGGTTTGTTTATAAGATAAAGTGAGCATGACTGACTTGAACACCGCATGAGCCTTCCACTGACGCCAGTGCCGTGAGTATTACATCAGGTACTGAGGCGTCACTCCGATCAGTACCTTTTGTCATATTCTCAGTTATGGCGTTGTCACCAGCACTTTGACAGCATGCTACCAGTTGCCTTTTACTATTATAATTCACTAAATTTTGATTTTTTAGTTGTAGGACAGTAGTTTTAACATTGCTCACATTTTTTCAATTTTGTGTACTAGTAGTTGAGAGATATTTTCATTTTCTAGTTTTGACATTGAAACAACTGATGTATTGAGGGATAGAGAATTCGTAGCTAAAAAATTATTAAATAACAAACTTTATAAAGATTTTTTTTTTCATGGTTCCTGTTTCAGTTCAATTAAGAGAAAAATCTCTGAAATTAGCAGAAGAAGAAATCCGAAAATTGACATCAAGTACAGAGGCTAAAGTTGATAAGTAAGTTTATTAAAGTCGTTAATGTCGATCGTGCATTTTTCAGATGATATTCAATTTGTCACAACTCAATCCACACATAAATGTACTCAAATTGATTAACATTTCATTAAGGCGACAAAATCACCCTTTACATTTGGAATTGGATGTAGATTTTGTGGAATATCACTGTCCAGGCAGAATTAATGTATTGTGTTGATGAGACGTTAAACTCTATTTCTGGGAGCCACGATCCCTGCTAGGCGGAGAACAATCATCGGGATTTTCCGGCATGACTTCCCTTTGTCAGTGGTGTAGGACACAGGGCCTGGCAAGGGAAATTGTATAGTTGTTCAGATGGGACAAAAAAAAAACAAGGTCCTGTGTACACTGTGGCATGCACGAGAAAGAACCCTTGACAGTTGGAATTCGAAATAAAGAGTGGCCCATAGCGACGCTGTCTGGGCAAAATATCCTCATAGCATATCGTATGATGTATGCCTGTCCCCATTAGCCCAGTAGGAGCAAAACAGTAGGATGTTAAACCCAATTTCATTTCATTTTCATTTCATTTGAAACTCAATTTCTATCCTATCTTATTTTTGTATTAATGTGTTTTCTAGAGAACTGATGAAGAATCTGTTACTGGGTTATTTTACTACACCACAAACTAAACGCAAGGAAGTTGTCCATACTATTGGAGGGGTTCTCAACTTTAATCCTGAGGAATTTCAAAAGGTGGGTACCTTTTAAATAATTCTTTTATTATTCTTTGCTTCCATGGGTTTTTTGGGGTTTGTCTTTAAATTGTGTTCCTTGTCCAATATAGGGTAGACGGACTCCAGTCAAGTGAAAATATTGTTCAAATGCTATTAATAAAAAGTTACTCTAATTTTGTTAATAACACTGAAATTTCAACTCAGATGAACAAAGAAACAGAAATGATTAGATTTAATTAAGAGTTCAGCTTGAACTTATGCACAATATAATTATACTATGTATCCGTCGTTTTCCATCGCCCTGTCTTCAACGGCATATACAGCCGACATGGAACACAAGGACTGAAGAATCAATAAAGGAAGGCAAATACAACTGTGGAATAAATATCTGTATTTTTTGTTTATTTTTCTGTAGATTGCCATAATTTGGATTTTGTGAATTTTTTTTTGTTAAGTAATGTTTCAAACTGTTTAAGATAAGTTCCAATTTAAATGTATTTTTGTAGATATCTGAAGCTGAAGGTTCTTCAGGTGGTTGGGTACCTGGTTTATTTAAATTAGGAAGAAGTTCACATCCTACCCCACCTACTACACCTGTACGTAACTCAGGAACTAAAGCACCAAGTCTAAATCAGGTAATTCAATTGAGATATTTATATCTCTTTATACTCATAACTATCTCTGGAAACTATGGAACTATATCTTGAAACTATCAAACTATATCTTAAAACTATCAAACTCTCTCTCGAAACTATCAAATTATCTCTCGAAACTATCAAATTATCTCTTGAAACTATCAAACAATCTCTTGAAACTATCGAACAATCTTTTGAAACTATCAAACTATCTCTTGAAATTATCAAACTATCTCTTGAAACTATCAAATTATCTATTGAAACTATGGAACTATCTGTTGAAACTATGGAACTCTCTCTTGAAACTATCGAACTCTCTCTTGAAACTATCAAACTATCTCTTGAAACTATCGAACAATCTCTTGAAACTATTAAACTACATGTATCTCTTGAAATTATCAAATTATCTCTTGAAACTATCCATGTTGAATATGTATATAATTATACATAGGATATCTGATCTTCTCTTATTTATGGAACATTTCTTCTCATTTTGAATGAGGACAATTTTGTTAGTTTTATTTATCTTTTATCTTTTCTTTCAGTCTTTCTCTCAACTTTTCGTGAAATTTTTGGAGACTGAATCATCACCTCCTCCACCTGCGGTCAGACTTCCTGCAGAACAAATGGCAAAAGAACTACAAGAAAAACATCACAGAGAAAAAGAAACCACAAGATTATCTAAACCTCCTGCTTTTAATCCTTTCACAGCTCCTCGTCACGTATCTATGCCGATATCAGTTGGCACTGATCGCTCGGCCAAGTCTGATTCACATATATTAATGGGATCGACCAATACACCTAGTTTTACACCCATGTTTACAACGCCTGTCGCTAATGATAATATAAGTCAACCAAATTCAGGTCGTTCCACTCCACAAAATTCCAGTAGCGCAATACTCAAAGATGTCCTGGGTTCAAGATGACAGTAGCTCTGTATATTCATTAACTTAATTTTATTAACATTTACACATGACAATATTCATGTGTATATAACATTATTAATCACTGGAAGATGGTTGTGATTTGTCTGTGAAGAATCCAGTCATGACTTAATAATGTCTAGGACGTGCCATTTGTACTCTGTGTGCTATTTTACTGGCAACTCATGTTTCTTAGCACAATCCAACCTCGTGGGTTTTCTCCGGGTCCTCCAGTTTTCTCCCACTGCTAAAGACCCCTACGCGCAAGCAAATTATTGAAATAAAATTGAACCCTATATTAGTCCCGAAATGACTGAGTGCAAACAAAGGGTAGTAAGATCAAAAGCTGTGCCAAAAGTAGAACAGCTGAAATGAAAAAAAATCCACAGATTCACCAAGTCCGTGGTCAAATCGGTCTAAAAAAATCCCAATGTTGCAAAACATTAAACCCAATTAGAGATTTCATTTAAATAGGTCTATTGTCTTTTAAGCTGTCACTTCAACACCGACCTTAATCTCATTAACATTTGTGGTTATTATTTTATTTAAGGTGAAAATACTCCACAAAGTGATATTTGTAATGTGATATATATGTAACATAGCATTTGGTTGAATAATTGTAATTCCAGACCCACAGTAAAACACCAGAACTAGTCTAAATTTTTAGCATTTTTTGATAACAAAATACAATTACCTAGTAATTATTATCTGTTAAATATTAATAAATGCACAATTTGTTTTTGTGTTTCATACTAACTCATAGTGCTTACCAAACTATTATAATAAAACCAAACTTTATTAACTGAAAAGCTCGACATAAAATGAAAAAAGGTGATTTTGTTTAATAGTTGTTTGTTTGTGATTACCTGTATATTGTAAGTAAAATTAATCATATTTATATAATGGTGTATTATTATACAATATTCACCTGTTAAAAGTTTTATATTATATAAAGGGACCTATTGTTAAATAAAAATGTTTGTTTATTTCTTATTGCTGGTGTGAAAATGTTTGTTGAAATAATGAATAATTAAATGAACTAGTGTTTAACATTCTATACTTAAAAGTTGTTACAGTTTTATATAAAAACAGATTAAATTTCATAAATTTAAGATTTGTTTATATAATTAAATATTACATATTTCAAGAGAAGCAAATAAAATATCTGAAAATTGGTCCGTTTGTTCATCTGCATATTTGAATTCCCATACAAATAAATCAGAAGAGATTTGAGAAAAAAGACTTATTAGTTAGATCAAAGTAAGACTTTAAGATACATTATGTAAGATTTAGATAAAGAGCTGGGTTTTATTGCTATAATAGTTCAAAAATAGATAATGCAAAGTTATGAGTGTTTGAAGTATTGACTATATATAGTTCTGATTGTCAAGTACCATTGCTTTGATAATAAACAAATTATCCATGTTTACATTAAATTGTGATTGTGATTCAATCCATTCAAATTTACCGCCATCCGATGGTCTAGGGTGTTGATTGTGGGCTTGTCGTGGGAATGAATGCCTAATTAATAAATTATTTAACATTGAAGCCCCCTCAAAAAGACCAATTTGTAGATTTAGCTCTTACATGATGCATCTTTAGTCAAAAAGAAAAGTTGCCTAGATCATTTGGATGAATCATATGGTCTCTTATTGGCATTACTAGAAATATTCTGATATTTATTTCGGTGAAGTGTCCCTTTAATTGTAAATGGAATTCTGGTATATAATTGTTATATTATAGAATATCAATAATTGTACAAAACAATGTTATCTTAATACTAAGCATGTATAGTTGTATTTAAAAGGGAAATTTAACAATGGGGAATAAATTATTTTTAAAAAAAGGACATGGAATTTTATTGTTGTACCACATTTATTAACAAGTACAGGCATACTATGGACCAGGAACTGAATGTGACATCATTTCGGCCATCTTTGAAATGGGACATCATTTGAAAAATCAAAATCTGACAGTTGATGAACGATTTATTGTCAAGGGAACAACCACCCCAAGTTTCATATCCATCTTTTATAAATTGGTAGAGCCTTAGGCTTTTTGAAAAACAAGATGAACAGTGCTTAGGTAGTTTCTGGTCCAATAATCTAGGGCATAACAGTTTGAGTGTCATTTAAGCTCCAACAATAAAGGTTATATATAGATTTAAAGACTTCACAATCAAGAATATTGTTATTAAAAGATATTTTGGTCCCAGAATTATTCAGATTGATCAATTAAAACTTTTCAAGGCCATATTATTATCAGCAGTGGCATGTCCTAGGAGATGAATGGGGGATCCAGACTCGAGAGCCCCCCCCCCCATTTTCTGTTTACAAGATGATAAAATCTGATCAAGGGCAACAAGCCATGAAGTAATAATCATAAATAATACAAGTTTGATTAGCTTCCATTTCTTCCTAGCACCAACATAAACAGAACATGTACCGAGAATCAAGGACACGTCTAGCTATATAAATTTCAAGATGCATAAAAAGAAACATTGCATATCCATAACTAGCTTTCCAGGCCAGTCATTTGGGTATTTTTGACAATTTGGAGATCAATTAAACATACATTATGCAAGAGCTAAATCTGCCTATTTCAGGTCTTTCTTTAGGCCTGAAATGTTATCTAAATTATTAATTAGACATTAATTAACCTATCCAGGCCATAATCAACTCTAGATGGCAGCGCTAGCCTGCGATCTTTAGTGGATTGTAAGCCGATTTCCTGCATAACTTTCCTTCTCGATTAAACGATTAAATGGATAATCGAGACTATGCTGTTTATCGTACTGACTTTAGTAATGATGACCGAGGCTTATGGGAATTTCAGTCGCTTAGTTCTCGGTTCATAGTGGATCAATTTCAATGAAATTTTCACCAAATTGCCTTTACATTATCTAGTTTTTAACTATTACAGTGAGAACTGCCAACTCTTTACCGAATCTCCCATAATGTATCTTTAAGTAATCCTGAAAGTTGGTTTCCAATAGATGAATTAGGGTTTAAGTCCTACTCTTCTGCACCAATGGTTTCGAATCCCTGGTTGTACGTGACAAGGAGTAGGGTCGCCTGTCCAACCTCGTGGGTTTTCTCCAGGTCCCCCGGTTTCCTCCCATTGCTAAAGACCCCTACCCCTACCATGTTAGTCCCAAAATGACGTTAGACCCCATTTCTCTCTCTCTTCTGCACCAACTGGACAATGAAGATAGGCTTAGGCCATGTAGAAAGTTTTACCTGGACAACAGGGTTTCTGCCTACTTTTTGTTGTTGTCCAAATATTACAGGATTTTTAACATTCAAATGACTAGAAAAGGGGAAACCTGGCTGGAAAATCATAAAGAACGGTTTTGGCCAACCCTGGGAACGAACCAGGGTCATCCATCCTGGTTTGTGAACCAACACATTACCCATTGAGCCACTGTTGCTTCTTATCGCTCATAATCACCAGCGACACCCATCTGCAAAATGAGTGAACAACAAGAAAAATAAATAAATCTATGTGTAATAATTCAATCATAACTTTATTCTGCAGTGATGTCATTAGATCATTCAACTCATAATACAAAGATAAAATAATATAAACCATTAATATACACATTACAAATATACATACAAATAATATAATCAAACATCATAAAGTCATTTAAGGGGACGACCACAAGTTTATCCTTTATAATAAAATTCATTGATGTCAATGCATGATAGAACACTTAAATTTATTTCGATTAAAGGTATGTTTGGCATTATATAGTTATAAACTATCAATATCTAGTATGTAAGCAATATATTAGATTACTGACTATTGAAGGTATAATTTTATAGTACCGTACTGTAAGCAATACATTAGATTACTGACTATTGGAGGTATGTTTGGCATTATCTAGTATGTAAGCAATACATAGATTACTGACTATTGAAGGTATAATTTTATAGTACCGTACTGTAAGCAATACATATATTACTGACTATTGGAGGTATCATTCTATAACGATATAATTTTTATAAACTATCAATATCTAGTAATGTAAGCCATTGACTAATTGATAGATATAATAATTTACTAGTGATTTTAAATACATAAATATTACCAGTACAAATCTGAAAACAGAAAATACACGAATATATAAATTCAGATAAATTTATCAATAATTAATGGAAACATAATAAAATCTATCATAATAAAACATGATTTCTTTTAGAATATTTTAAAACTTTCATCATCTAACTAATTACCATCATACTCTAAAAACTGCTACAGTACAACCATAACTCAACCACATCTCAAATTTGATTAAGATGGGCTCAAAATATTTAAATACTAGTGGCCAGATTTGCAGTCTGTGACATTGTTGTGCCCATAATACCAGGGACCAGAGAATCTTTCACAACCTTCACTTATTTACTGTTGGTGCCAAGAAAGCAACATTGTAGAGCCCATTATGTGAGCAGTTGGTTCCTCATCCACGATCTTCACTTGCTTTAGTCGAGACGTGGACGTATTGGCCCCTGGAAACCACTGTATAGGCTGTGGAATATTCAAGAACTTGGTAGTCAAAGTGTTAAAGAAAATGTTTGAGAATATGATAATCACTTTAACAGATAACAGCTTAAATATCTGTGTGTGTTTGTTGATGTTATTGGAGTTGATGATCTGTTTGTTTTATATTCATAAGTATTTATTCGAATCCAGGGCAACTGTGGTATGATAAACATTGGCCAGGGATAAAAACGATTGAGAATGAAATGAATTATGGCTGTTGTAGAATGTTTTCAACATGTGAGCAATTTTATCACCTGAGATTATTAAACACCACTCCAACTCACATTTAAAATATAAACTTTAATATAGGTAATATGCTTCCAAAACTTGCTTGCCTTACATAAACATACATAAACATAACAATAGAGGATGAAACAGTTGCTGATTGTTCCACATAGCTCATGCAACACCTATATGAAATTCGATTATACAGCTCTATGTACAGAACTTTAGGCACACTTTATATATCTGAACCCCCATAGACTAGAATATAAGCAGGACTAAAATTATGTCACAGCTTGTTTATTGGCGGAAAGTTAGACTAATCACGGAAAACGGCGGGAATCTACCTGTGGCAGGTTGACATTCAGAATCGTATTTTACTTATGAAAAGGATATGTTGACATAATTCCTTGATTATTTAAAAAATTAATGAAGCTTTTCAGGTGACTGTAATTGATTATTACAGTACACACTAAAGTCTTTCATTTGAATCACCAATAATCAATTTATTATGTCTCGTGAGGAGCTTACATAGCCTGTATTCATTGGATATCTACAATAGTAATGAAGCATATTACCCACAGAAAGTGAAAAGAAACTAGATTATAAACAGAACTTTGAAGAATGTTACTAGGATATAAAAACAACAGATTTTAGAATGTTATGGACAAAAGAAAAACAAAACAATTTGGTAATGCCTCTTAAAATTAATAATATAGATAATTTAACAAAATAATCCTGAATTTCTTCAACAAATCATTCATTAATACAAAATGCGACCAAACAGATTAAACTTTGATAGAAATGATAGATAGCTAATTACAAAGCAGTATGTTCATTAACCTTTTTGTACTCGTGTATGTAAATATCCTCTACCCTGATGACAATCTTTTAAAGGCATTTAGTAACTGGATAGAGCAATAAACTATAACACATGCTTGGAAAAATGTTGTCTCTACATAAATATGTGTTATGTTTATTACCCTGGTGACAAATATTAGATTTAGTTATGTAGCTCAATTTCAAAACAACTTGAAACTAGTGATGCCTAGATCGCCCGAGTCACAGAATTAGCAAAAGAGAGAGATTCCACTCGACACATACTATTTCATTTTGGGACTGACATATGGTTCAGTTTCATTTGAATAATTTGCTTGCGCGTAGGGGCTCTTCAGCAGTGGGAGGAAACCCACAAGACTGGACAGGCAACCCTACTCCTTGTCATGTTCAAGTGGGGAATCGAAACCACGCCACTTTACTCATGACAGACCTTGTAATTTCAAGCCCACACATTAAACAACTAGACCACACACCCCACCCCACCCACCCACCCATACACAGAATTAGCAAAAGGTCCTTAACTAGTTCAAGGTAGTTTCAGACAATCCAAGTGTTAAGGATTAACATAACTCATTGAATTATTACTGAATAATTACGATAATGTTAATTTTATAATAAATATTTGTGATGATGCGTTACGTACATAAGCCTATACAGGTATTTATAATTTAAAACACTGAATGACATATCTTTTCATTATCTGTAAACATGAATATGATTTTATACAATGCTAGTATTTCTTACATCTAATTAAGCATATACATAGGTTGAAAGTGATTTCCTACTTCTAATTAAGAATGTACATGGCTTGACAATGTGTTGGTAGAAACATAGCGTTACACTACATTACTAGAAATATGTCTTTTCTAAAAAAGCATAAACATAGATACATAGCTTGGCAATTTGTTCATAGAAACATAGCTTGACAATGTGTTCATAGATACATAGCTTGATCATGTGTTCATAGATACATAGCCTGACAATGTGTTCATAGATACATAGCGTGACAATGTGTTCATAGAAACATAACTTGATAATATGTTGCTGGAAATATTCCTACTTAAGCATTTATACATAGCTTTACAATGCATTATCTACAATGTTTTCATAATGAGACTAGAAATGAAAATGAAGTGAACATGTTCCAACATTAATACAATAATCACGTCGATCAGATGAAATGAAAATATTACAAATAATTCTAGAAAATACATGATTAAAAATATTTCAAAAAAAAATATGAAAAAATGTACATGACAATCGCATCGGACTAGGCAAAAAAATATTCATACACCAACTACATGTAATACATAAAACTACAATTAATTAAACACTCTTCAACATAAAATGCATTGTTATATAAATTGGATATGTCATGAAATATATCAAATGTGTTATCTCTTGCATGAAAAATATATATACCTAGGAATATATATTAGGTTTTTGCTTTAATGATAACTCCTTATACTTAGGTGCCGGTGTAATTCTATATGAAGCGCCTTATTACAACATGAGATTACTATCTGCATCAAAAGATATATATGAGACATTATCATAATATTGACAATATATTGTTTTGAAATGCCATTGCTTGGTAATGTAATATCTTTAATGATAAAATGCCCTAGTATTAAATGTCCTGTGCCATTTTTAGACTTGAATATACATGTCAGTTGGTTTTGTGGTTCGTAAGTCAATGTATAGGTATTCTTCTATACACACAGAAGGACAGAAATTCTGTTTCAGCTTAATGTGGTTTTTAAAACTGTGGTAAGATAGCATGTGGTTGTTGAAACCAGGGTAAGACACCCATAGAAACTGAGGTAAGATACCCATAGAAATCAGGATAAGATACAGCTAGAACTATTTTTTAAGAGTAAATAAGGTTAGGGCATGTGATTGTTGGTGAGATTGTAGGTTAGGGTAAGTATTAGGGCTAGGTCCTGGGTTAGGGTTGGGATTAGCACTAGCCCTGTTTACATTTTGTGACCTTTGACCGAAGTTGGCCTTATCAAAAAATAGATCTAACTGGTAAGATACCCACAGAGAAACCCGGGTAAAACACCCATAGAAACCCGGGTAAAACTACCATAGAAACCAGGGTAAACACCCATAGAAACCAGGGTAAGACACCCATAGAAACCAGGGTAAGACACCCATAGAGACCAGGTTGAGATACCCATAGAAATTGAAAGTTGTAGAAATACTGTAGCGATACACTGGCAAGATAAAGCAGAATCATAAAATATATCTTTTTGAAATTAAACATATATTTTTCTAATATCAATTTTGCTACTGTAAATTTTATCATGTGTGTATTTTGTTTTTTAAATATCCATGGCAAAAAAATAATAACCCGGTAAAATTTATGTGTAATCTCAACAATTCAATTCTAGCCAACAAGCTTAATGACCAAATTGAATTCCTTCGTTTCAAGATGTTTTTCTCATAAATTGCATAGACTAAAACACCTAGAACATAATAATTACACACACAATTAATATCTGAACAGTTATAATCTTTAGACTAGTTACTATACACGTATGTTATAGGTGGAAGTAAATTTGTGTAGTTCCATACACTGTAATTGTACCACTGAGAGTAACATTTTTTTTGGATTTCAGGCGCCTTATAAGTGCATTATTATACTACAAAAGTATGATCAAGCTCACTGATTCGTTTCCATAAAAATCGATTAATAAAGCTGAGTAGAACTAAGTGGCTTAGACTACAAAGCAGAAGTGCTGTGAGCTAGGCACAAGTTCAGCAACACTGCTTGCTTTAAAATAATTTAAATAAAAGGCTATTAAGGCCTAAATAATAAATGAATGAATATTTCTATATGGTTAGATAGATCAAAGCTGATGTTGTTTATACAGTCAATATAATTAATATAAAAGCTTTAGAATGATATACATATATTGTTAAATACATTTTACATAAAACATGTGATTATGGTAATCATGAACAAAGTCAATTACATTCATATGAACAATGAGCTCTTTTCAAAATGTGATATATGTCACACAGAACATGCCTTTCTCAAAACTGTTTTAATATTAACCTAAACTATCTCTAAATAAAATCTCAAATGAAACATTCCCTTTTTTCAAATCCATTACATATTCCTTAATAACTCTAATAAAATATCCCCTTTTTCAAACCATTTTTATATCTCTAATCACCCCCACCACCCCTCAAATGAAACACTCTTTTTTTTTCAAAACCCGTTTTATATACCTTAGATTCTCTAAATAAATCTCAAATGTAAATCCATTTTTCAAAACCTTTCTTATATTGAAAAATTCTTTCAAAATTAATGGTACATATTTTAATCAATTTTTGACTTTAGTACCGGTATGTTTCAGAAGATCACGTTTTCGAAAAGCACTCTACAGTCTACATATACATTGTTTAAATAACATATGACTTGATGGTTGTTAATAAATTCACAATATTGAGATTTATATTGGATGAAGAGAATAATTGGAATACAAAGGGGGAAATCTTTCATAACCACAAATAAATATACATATAATTCACAAATATACACAATTAGTTCCAATTACTCTGTTTACAAAAACACTTATATATGTATAATATACATCAGTTCATGCATTACTATACTATACTGCTATATCTATACACAATACAATGTCAAAATTTCCTTCAATAATTATCTTACTCACTGCAATTTTTTGTTTTAAGTAATGGGTAAGATGCTGGCTCGCTAGCATGGAGGCCCGGGTGTTCGATTCCTGCATTGACCGAGAAAGTTCATCCAGATTTTCTGGCGTGGTTCCTCCTTGTCAGTGATGCAGGACAGCTGTCTAGTCGTTCAGATGGGACCCTATCCTTAATACTGATATGAACTTAAAATCACTATAGTAAGAGTACTGACTAGTTATGGTAACTGATATTATCAACAGGGACGTTCTTGATTTCACAGTCCGTAAGTTCATAGTGTGATTGTCATTTAGATAGTCGCAGATGACTAGGATAAAGGTTCCTTGAAGTTTTATTTAGATAGTTGTACATGGTTGCTAAAGTCTGTTCGTTATAAATACTGGTTACAGTAGAGATGTTAGGAGAGTTAAGTTTTTATCACATAAAGATGCATTAGGTAAGAGATACATTTAAATCAGCCTATTGTAAGTCTTTTGGCTTCAAAGGTTATATATATTATTATTTAGAGATTTATTCACATGACAAGCCTGTAATCAACTCTCTAAACCATCAGATGGCCGAGATTTAAATGAATCTGAACACACACAAGATTTAAATATGTAACGATAAAATGGATAATCGAGGTCAAGTCTCATTTAACAAGTACCTTTGCTACGATAATTAATGAACTACGCTACATCTTCAAACAGTCATAACTTTGATCAGAATAAAGTAATTTGAATGAAATTTTTAATATATTCATTTTCTATTATCTATTTTTGAACTACTATAGCAAGAACAGACAACTCTTTATCTAAATCTTACATTACGCATCTTTAAGCTGCAGGAAGCAGGATATTATCAAGGGAAAATTTACAATGTATTGAACCTAAATACCCAAACCAGATGAAATGACTACATAAATTATTATATATAAAGTAAAAAAATAATAATAATATAAAACTAGTTAATGAAAAGTGGAAATTAAAGTTTGAAAAAACAAATCGCTAAAAAGACTAATTCGACAAGACACAATTACAATTTCCATTAAATTTAAAACTCTGAAACTAAATACATAATGGAACCGTAATCTGTTCAATCAGGAATTTAACAGATAAGTAGCCATATTATTTTTGGTATTGCAGTTCATTACCATCAGCAGAGATCTATGCTAAATTATATTTAAAAAATAATCTCAGTTTCATCAATAACATGTATAGTATAGTATCAATTAATGGATTGAACCATAATTAAACCTAGGTACCACACTATAAACCACAACATCAGTAGTGAGAGATAGAGAATTGGGGTTTAACATCCACTCGACACTTACAAACTAGGTGATTTTAAGACTATGACATGTTTAGTACCATAATGTCTGGGCACTTCACTATGATTGATGAGTTTTTATGACATTCATCTGGTTTCAGTCAGCATGATCTTGGAAAATAAGTTTAACATAGCCTGGATTTCCTATTAATGGAGAAGCACAAAATGGGCAGATGGCTCTGAAGCCATGACAACCATGAGGAACTGCCACATACGCCCAGTATCTGCAAAACAAATTTTAAAAGTAAAAATATTGAATGAACAGATTGAACAATAAAGAATGTTTACAGCTATTTATTGAAACATGAGCATTTATTAAACAGGAATTATGCAAGAGCTAAATCTGCCTATTACAGGTCTTTCTTTAGGCCTTAAATGTTATATAAACTATTAATTAGACATTTATTAATATGACGTGGACATAATCAACTCTCGATGCCATCAACTCTCGTTGCCAATGGATAGGCCCGATTTAAAGTAGATTATATTATGATTTAATTTAAAAATGGTGAAGGGAGGCTAAGCCTCGAACAAACAGTGTGGTGGTTACAATCAGTGCACACACCTGGCCAAACCTTCAAAGGTTAATATCTTCGCTCAAAATAAGTAATTTAAATGAAATTTTCAATCTATTCATTTTGCATTATCTATTTATGAACTATTATAGCAAGAATGGCCTGCTCTTTATCTAAATCTTACATAAAATATGCAACTTTAATACAAATTTTTTGTCTTTAAAAACTCAATGTTTTAAAATAAAGGGGAGGCAACTCTGCTCAATCAACCTTATAATCATATTATCTCCCCTTAGACCACGAACCATACAAATATTAGTGTATTATAAAAACTTACTTGACTGTTTTTTCAGATGCTACATGACCACATGGATTAAAACAAAATGTTGGATGCTCGGAATCCATATAAAGACTTAATTCACATCCCATTTGTAACTTAACAAATGGACCCACCTAAAAGAACAAATGTTTTATAATATTCAAATACCAGTTGTTTTAACATAGGGTTCTTTTTTTATACACACACCCAATGAACAAACCCAGTCAAGTCTCTATAAAAAAATTCTATTGAGAACTCAGACTTGTTTCATGTTAACAAGAACAATCATGACCTAATGAAAAATCCCTGCAAATCTGTTTAATATAAATCAAGATCAGAGAAAATAAACTTAGAAAACAAATATATCTCAAATAAAAGATATGATATTCAGGAGGAACAAACAAGTCTTGGTTACATTTCTAATGAATCACTCTGTCATGTTCTTGATTAATAATTAATCTGTATTACAAGCAGACATGAGTTTTTGAAATTTTTCAAGCTGTGTCAACACTAATGTTAGTAACACAAAAGTTTCTGTCTATTATTTATTATATGGTGTATATTATGACTAATCCTGGACTGAAGGCACCTGTCACAGACTTTGTCAGACTCAAATTATCATGCAACATTTTTATTTTAATGTATATGTTGTGTGATAATTTGTGTCCAACAATATCTGACAGGTGAGTGAGAGTGAGAGAGAGTGAGAGAGAGAGAGAAATGGGGTTTAACTCCGTTCGACATTAGGTCATTTCAGGACTAACATATGATTCAATTTTATTTCAATAATTCGCTTGCGCGTAAGGGGTCTTTAGCAGTGGGAGGAAACCGGAGGACTCGAAGAAACCCACAAGGTTGGACAGGCGACCCTACTCCTTGTTACTTACAACCGGGGAATCGAAACCACGCCACCTGACTCAATGACAGACCTTATGATACAACGTACACACGCTAACCATTCAACAATCCAACCCCCTTGTCTGTTACAGATGCTTGATGTACAGGCTTGTATAGGTTGTGTGATAATTTTTACTTGACAAAGTGCCTTATGTCCAGGTCTGTATATGACACACTTTTTTTTAATAAATACAGAGAGTCCCAGCCACCCTCCCCCATAATTATTAAAATATTATAATTACTTACTGTTAAACATAGTGGACATGTTCTAGTACTTTCTGAATCTAATACACCCCATTGATGTTTACCATGTACATGACCACAGTTTAAATATACATACGGTTGTTTATCATGTAAGTTTAATGAACCACGTGTTGGAAGGACTAGAGTGTTCAAACCTACAGGACACTGTGGACGTCCTGCATTGATTTCTCCCACTAAATCTTCAAATTCATGTTCACTCTGAAACAGAAAACATTTATTCAAGTATTTATGTGGATGCCTACTTATTATTAATTCTTCTGGCCTCGGTTTCACAAAGCATTCTCAGACTTAAGTTAAGAATTTACTCAACTTTCAATCACTGTTTACGAGAAATATATTTGACCCAGTAACACAAAACTTTGCACATAGTTTCTTATTGATGTATTTGAAACATTTAAACACCAAAAGTTTTATAAAGGGCTATATTTTAGATAAAATAAGGCGAACAATTTTGAGTAAAATCTTAACTTAAGTGTGAGAATGTTTTGAGAACTCGGGGCCTGACTAACAAACTTTTGTTATGAATGAAATGAAAATGACATGGGAGTTTAACATCATACTTTTCTACACTAACTAGGCTAATGAGGATGTGTGTTATGAGGAAAGAATTTAGCTGCACAATGGCAATTTTGCCCCCTCTTCATCAAATTCCAACTGTCAAGGGATCTTTTATATGGTGAACTTCTGTTTTATGTCCAATCTAAACAACTAGACATCTTTTCCTTGCCGGGTCCTCCGTCTTAAAAATCTGACAAGGGGATTACTGTCCGGAAAATCTTGAGGAACTTCCTCAGCCAACAATGGGATCGAACCTGTGACCTCTTGGTTTGTGAGCCAATGCCATACGCACTGAGTCACCATGGCTCCATTTTGTTAGAAATGAAATGAAATAAAATGGGGTTTAACATCCTACTGTTCTGCTCCGACTGGGCTAATGAAGACAGGCATATGCCATGCAGTATGCTATTTAGGGAAATTTTGTCTTGACAGCAATACAAAATGCCAAGGGATCTTTTACGGGCATGCCAGTATGTACACGAGCCCTCAGGTTTTCATCCTATCCGAACGATTAGACAGCTGTCCTTGTCAGGTCCTCAGTCCTGCACCACTGACAATTGGAAACCTTGCCGAAAAAAATCGTTATGAACTTTCTCGGCCAATACCGGGAGCAAACCTCCGACCAACTAGCAAGTCAGCGCCTTACTCACTTAGCCTCTGTTACTCCCCCATTTTGTTAGAGAGAGAGAGAAATGGGGTTTAAAATGTCCACTCGACACAAACTAGGTCATTTCAGGACTAACATATGGTTTTATTTTATTTCAATAATTTGCTTGCACGTAGGGGTTTTTAGCAGAGGGAGGAAACCGGAGGACCTGGAGAAAACCCTGTGATGTACAACCAGGGATTCGAAACCACGACAGTTGACTCAATGACAGGCCTTATGATACAGCGAGCACATGCTAACCATTCAGCTATCCAACCACCACCCCACATTTTGTTATAGCCTACTGTTGTAATTACAAGGATCAAGAATGGAATGGTACAAATTTAAAAGCTCTAACGGTAAATAAACCTGAATACACAAACTGATGAGTATGTAAAATTTGTGGCAAAGCTCAAAAACTATTTGATAAGAGAATAAGATAAAATTCTCAACTTACAGGTGCTGAAATAAGACCAAGTGCTGAGCGCCATAACATAGTAGCACCACATAAATCTATTAATGTACCATCACTTAATATATTATCTTCGTCAGTTATCTGAAATAAATATTAAATAATTACCAAATTAAGAAAAGAGAGAGAGAGAGAAATGGGGTTTCACGTCCACTCGACACAAACTAGGTCATTTCGGGACTAACATATGGTTTAATTTTATTTCAATAATTCGCTTGCACGTAGGGGTCTTTAGCAGTAGGAGGAAACCGGAGGACCCAGAGAAAACCCACGAGGTTGGACAGGCAACCCTACTCCTTGTCACGTACAACCGGGGATTCGAAACCACGCCAGTTGACTCAATGACAGGCTTTATGATACAGTGCGCACGTGCTAACCATTCGGTCATCTACCCCCCACCCCCCCAATTTAGAAAGGAAACCATTCCATGAAATATTACTTTGATTTTTCAATCAAATTTTAGAGTTTTGCGGAGAATAATAAATGAGCAACTTACTACCTGACAGCTTTTTAAAGGAGACGGTCGAGATTCCCTTAAAGGAAATACTCCACCCCCTACAGACACCTCCCTCCATACACCAGGTTGAGCTGATGCAGCAAAACCCCCCTGAGGTTTCATTATAAATACACCATTAGTAGTTAAACCATCAATTTCATCACCTGAATACCACTTTACAGCTTTCTCCTGTAAACAATACATTATTTATTACTCTAAAGTATATCTAAATTCAAACGGCTCTTTGTCAAACTTTGGTATGGGCAACTTAAAACAAAATTTCCTATAGAAACTTGGAAATAACTAATTGGTACCGATTAATATATATGTAAATTTCTGCAGCATGTATAACAATAAAGCCTAATTTGCTTTGTTTAACATTGAACTATAGAAATGATTCAGCCACAAACAATATAGTGACATATCAATCAATCAATCCTGCTTTCTGAAGCTTTGAAAAAGCACAATTCAGTTTCCATTTGATGCTACGTCACTCGTTCTACTCATATTTTGTTTGACTTTTGAGTCATTGAATACAGTCTTGCAAAGTAGTGCTTATTCAAAATGATATTATAAGATAAATTCTGGAATCCACAGACTATAGCTTTCAAGAAGAGTCAATTAAAATTTGATTTGATTAAAAGATACTTTTCTTGGATATAATGATTCTATTTTCCGAAAAATCAAATTTTTGTTTCCATTCTCCTGATATATCATTGTCAGTGAAAATTTAACTATTAACTGTTGAACTTTGAATATTTCATGCACTGTTTATTTGGTCTATGTTTTGTTGCACAGTTTTCTTGCATTTGGACTTACCCCTAAAAATATATTTTTGCCAGCATCAAAACCTGCTGCTATAATTCTGGCTGTGTATGGTGGATTACGATCTACGATAATACGACATGCAAACCGCGATATTGTACTCTGGGTTATATTATTCTCACTACTACATCGTATATGACCGGGTATAGTATCCATGACAACATAATCTATAGGATTCTCTGATGACCGTCCAATCTGAAATATATTTTCAAAAAATTAATTTTTAACTGATTATCATTATTTTAATCTGGTTACAGTGACATAATTGGGAGAGGCATTCTCTCTTTGGGTGGTCAAACAAATCACGCCTCAAACCTTCCTTAATAAATCAAAATAATGCTGTTTTCAGAGGATTTTAGCAAACCAACATAAATGCTGTTATCAGGATTATGAGTTTTGAAAATATCTTTCACAGGGTTTTCGATCAGTGGTATATCCCCCATATTACTACCTTATTATTTATCTAAATACTTTACACATTGTATGAAGCAAACCTATCCCACACCTGCTCCCTTCCTAACACAATTTATAACCTAACCTTCAAGCTTGATAACATTGAGAGAATGCTCTTTGAAATGTCACCCAAATAAATTAGTAGCTGTTTTTCCATAAGTATGTGTTATTATATAGTAACTTATAGCTTAATATAATCTTCAAGATAGAGTTAACACAAAAAATTTAACTGAAAATCTAGACTTTTTGGGTGAAATTCTTTAAAATATCCGACTTTAAGACTTGTACATTGATTAACTATTGAATATCTCAACTGATCAATTATTTTGTCAGTTAGCCAGGATTGACAACAATCACTGAAATAACAAGCAAACAATAGTAAGGCTGATTTCTCTACCTCAATTACAAAATAAATTGATGATACTTATTAATTACATGCATGAGAAGCTTCCATCGCAGCGAGCAGGTTTACACTGATCGAAGAAATTGCTTATCACTCGGTTTAACTTGAGAAGAAAATGAGCATTATCCAACATTGTCAAGATATTTATGCCAACGAGGCTATATACCAAGTATCATCACTATTATTTAAACATACATTATGCAAGAGCTAAATCTAAACATTTCTTTAGGCCTGAAATGTTATCTAAATTATCAATTAGACATTAATTAACAAAACAAGACCATAATCGACTCTCGATGGCATCAGATACTCAAGATTTTAACTAGATTAAAACGGTTCGCCATTTAAAAATTTAATTTAGAAATGGGAAAGCGAGGCTGAGTCCTGATTATCCCAGAGCCCTGGTTACCACTGTGCACACACCTTGTCAAAACTACAAACAATGATAACTCGGCTGAGAATGAAGTAATTTGAATGAAATTTTCAATATTTTCTTTTTTTATCATCTATTTTTGAATTATTATAGCAAGAATGGCCAACTCTTTATTACGGTAAACTCTTAACTAATGTATCTTTAACTAGAATCAGAGACTTCAGAGTTATCATGTTACAATGCATGGACATATCAAACTGTTATCTCTATTTAGCTAAAAATCATTAAACTCAGTCAAGATATTTACCTAACATCTATACCTAGTTTAAACATTCTAGCTCAATTAGAGAATTCCATGCATTAGATCTCAATCAATGGAGGTATTGATGTAAAGAAACTATACACAAAGTTTCATCACTCTCACTCAATTAGAATCAAAGTCATTGTGTCCCAAATTACTCCCAAAGCTTCAAAAAAACAAAATCCTTATGCCCATTGTGTTTTAGAAGGTGTAACAGACAGACGGACGGACAAATCTTAATAGACCTCTATCTAGTTTGAACATTCTGACTCAATTAGAGAATTCCATGCATTAGATTTCAATCAATCAAGGTACTGATGTAAAGAAACTATACTCAAAGTTTCATCAGTCTCCCTCAATTAGAATCAAAGTCAATGTGTCCTAAATTACTCTCAAAGCTTCGAAAAACCAAAACACTTATGCCTATTGTGTTTCAGAAGGTGTAACAGACAGACGGACAAATTTTAATAGCCCTCTATCTAGTTTGTAGTTTGAACATTCTGGCTCAATTAGAGAATTCCATGCATTAGATTTCAATTAATGGAGGTATTGATGTAAAGAAACTTTATCACCCAATAATACATTCCACAGTGGATATCGCTTGTGTGATATATTTCATAATCTACTGCGATATCTCCTTAGGAGATATCGCTTTACATGAATTTGATTGGTCAGTTGAAATGGAATTACTTTTTTTTATTTTCAAAGAACAGTTCATTTCTTATTAAAAGTAACTTTTTTTTTTCAAAAATGAACTATTGTTATTCAATTGACCTTGATGGAAACACTGGGCCAATATAAAGGACTTTGCAATGGTTGACTTGCTGTCAAAAAATGATGTATCACTACGCCGTAATGTTCAGTAAAAGTGAAATCTACAGCAAAGAATTATATTTATTTATTTGTGCATGTAAGAAGGGATTGGGTGATAAATAAAATCTCTGACTCGTCTTTTTTGATATTAAAAAATATCAACTCGAGTTGATATTTTTTGATATCAAAAAAGACTGCTAGGTGATTCTCTATATACACAAAGTTTCGTCACTCTCACTCAATTAGAATCAAAGTCATTGTGTCCTAAATTACTCCCAAAGCTTCAAAAAACCAAAATGCTTATGCCCATTGTGTTTCAGAAGGTGTAACAGACAGATGGACAAATTTTAATAGCCCTCTTGTTTCTACGAAAAAGTGGGGTACAACAATAAAATTCATGAGTTACACAAAGAATATATACAGTACATGCACCACTTAGGGTGACCCACCATAAATAAATATCTCCAAATATCTCGACAATTACGCCACAATATTTATATATATGCCAAGCCTCAAATCAGTTTCACACAATTATAGTCACTAAATAAACGATCATGTTGTACCTAATAAGCTATGACCATTAATCATCTATAAATAATAGACTGAAAACTGGTTCCAAGTTGCGTCCATAACATCCAGACACTTTTGAGTAAAAGATAGGTTACGTGCCCTTGTTTTGAAATTAGTCTCGCTTAACCAGTCTATCGACCATTCTACGTCTGATTGACAGGTCGGGATAATCAAGACTACTTTTTTACGAAACATAACAGAAAGCTAGAACAAGAAATTGAATTTAGAAATAAGCACTTTAGACAATCAACAATTGTTTTAAGAAACTTGTAAAAGTAAAATGAAACTACTGCTAGTATCATGTTCCTGCTAAAGAAAGTGATTCAGAGATAGTATTTGTACTAAATCAAAAGATGCCGCTCTTAACGGTACAGTTAATGATAAAGCAATTTAAAAAATAAAACAAACGTAATTACTAAAGCTGCTGTAATAACCAAGAAGCTAAATTTTACTGCTATTCAAAATCGTCAACAATAGATTTTTTACGGCTGTAATAGTTGATATATTTGTAGAGAATTGCACGTGCCATGGCTATTTATCGACTCAAAGCGAGTGCGGGGTAGTCAGAAATCAGTTCGAGACACGCAACTGAAGCGTGCACATTTAGCCGTGTCGAGACCAACTTTCTGTAAAGTGCACGGGTCATCCTACGCACTGCACTGTTGTAGTTATTAACAGAGATAAGAAATTTTATAGCATTTAATTAGTCAACAGCTGTTTGTGAGACATTTTGATAACATTATCTAACAATGGCATTTTATGGTTCATTATAAAGCGTTTAAATCATATTATTATAAAATCAATAACATCCATTGATACAATACAATAAAAAACAGAAGACAATTAGGCTTTTCTCAAATGATTAAATGGTCTGTGCAAGCGATAATTCAATTTTTTAAAAAAAATATGTGAAATGAATGTTTTAATCAATATATAGTCACAGTGGGAAGTCGAAAGGTAATATCTGCCATTTTCTACAAAATTCACTTTTTTGCACATTTTGATCTAGATTTTAGTTTTATAGGTATTTTTTTTCAAAATCTTGTACCAGTATATGGATGGGTGGTTTCAAAAAGAGTGAAAATGTTGTACAAGTATAAGGATGGGTGGTTTTAAAAAGAGTGAAAATGGTTTTTTTCTATTAAAAGAAAATCTACCATGTAACTTACAAAGCATTACAAGCAATCCAAATATTGCCAGTATTGTTTTATGGTTAGTTAAGAGCCGTATCAGTTAAAACAATTCTTGTGACTCTACTGTGTGATAAGCTTATATCTAGGCATTTCAAGCAAATGAAGGTGAAACTGACTGTATTAAACTATAAACCATTAAAATTTTAGTCTATTTTCAACACTGAATTATAGCCTGATTAGACCTGATAGCTACCTGTTGCTTAAACAGCTATTTGTATAAATCTGAGAAAATCTTTAGAAATACAGCAATTTGCATACAACATTTATATAACGTTTTTTGTAAGCTATCATGATTTTTAAACACTATGCATTTTTTGGCTCTCGTGAAAAATTTGGCAAAACCCGGATACAACATTTTGACTCCCGCAGCAAGTATATGTAAATGTAGTATCACGTGTGTCAATATCAATAAATAAACTGATGTAGGTATTGTATACATCTGATGTATGTAAGATTATAGATTAGAAATACGCCAACACAGACTTGTTGCATGTAATGAAAAACAATTCATGACATTCTTTCTTCTCTACACATCCTGTATAACTGTTTATTTATTAGTGTTTTATCTATTAAATACCCTGGCTTACTATTCTCTCATTTACTTGTACTTGTTAAGAAAGTGTCAAATTTCCCTGGAATTGTCAGTTTTAGTTGAATCTGACAGTTTTATTCACTGTGGCTGTTGTATTATTGGCAGTCTTATTCTCTTTACATTAGTTTTTGTTGTTGTTTTTATTTTTTATACTATATATTCCTATGTAGTAAGATCTATCTGATAGATGTATACAGGAGTTGGCTATTAGGTCAAGATTCAAGGAGAACTACACTTCCACAAATATGTCAGGAGATACAATTTTTCAGCCAAAGTAGAGAGAGAGAGAGAGAGAGAGAGAGAGAGAGAGAGGGAGGGAGGGTTTAACAGCCACCAGACAAAAACAAGGTCATTTCAGGACTAACATATGGTTCAATTTTATTTCATTAATTCGCATGCACGTAGAGATCTTCAGTATGGGAGGAAACCAGAGCACTCAGGAGAAAACCCATAAGATCAGCCAAAATAGGCATTTGAGGCAGAAGTAGCCTTTGTTCATGCAATAATCATTAATTTGGGGGGCAAAAGTATTCAATGATAAATTCAAGCAAAATTTTTAAAATCCTCCTAATAATATTATCTGATAGTGATGTAATAAATATAATATATCATACCTGAAACATATCAGTATCATCATCAGACTGATATTCTACTATTATAGCTTTATTTCTAGTTAATGTATATGACACTGAATGTAATGCAGAATCTTGAACTGCCTGCAAAACAAATATTAGAAAAAGGTGTGTGAATTAATTCAAATTATAATAATATTACTATCTGAAGCATCGTAAATTTTAAACGGATTTCTTCGATTATGAACAAACAGCTTAACTTTGGTTATTAAAAACTTTGAAATTACAAGTAAATAGTTAAATTTGTCAAAAGAGAACTTTTTTATTCGTTGGAATATTTAGTTGTGCAATGGATTTTACTGAACGGGAGTTGATTTCAAACACACAGGTAAGTTTATAATAACCAAAGTTAAGTAGTTTGTTCATAATCGAAGAAATTTACGATGGTTCAGACAGTAGTAAGATGATTGACAGCATCAAGGTCTCCCACAGTTGAACATCATCAGTTTACATGTTGGCCATATGTTGTTCCAAGATGACACCACTATGAAGATTAGAACATGTTATGTCACTTTAAGATCGATATAATTCAATTTAAGCAAACATACAGAATATGTTTGTTTATACAGTGACTAAGGGATTATTCTCCATTATTACTTCACCCAAAGTCATACATTATTGAATTATTAAAAGAAATACTAGTATCAGAAAGAGAGAGGGAGAGAAATGGGGTTTAATGTCCACTTGACACAAACCAGGTCATTTCGGGACTAAAATACTAGTATCAGTTTTTGAAACAAGATGGAAGAAAAGTTGCCAGGCAACGTAACATCCATACATCCGAGAGTTGTTACATTTTTATTCTTTTTTAGGTAATGGGAGCATTTACAAGACATTAAAAACTGATGAAGGGCAAAAATTAAAATCTGACAGTTAGTTATTCCCAACAGAAACAAATCATGTACAGTACATGCATCAGATAATCAGCTGTTTGAGTTATAGGAAATCATTGATCTCACAAACAGAAACAAAATGTTTAAATTTCAAATCCATTGTATGATAACCTAAGCCAATGTAGTGATCGGTGATATTCAATAGACTTCTTCATCTAATAATTCTACTGATACAACCTTCAAAAATAAATGAAAAGTTTAAAAATGATTTTACCTTGGAAGACTGTGGACATGTTACAAGATGTCGTTTAAAAGGTTTGACACCATTTGATTTTGGTCGTTTATATAAAATATATTTACTCTTTCTTCTTCCTTTATCTCCATTAGGAAGGTGTCCATTATATCTGTAATACATACATACATGTACACAAATAGGGTATATTACAATAGTTATAAATGTATGTAGATGTCCAGAATATTTGTAATGGACAAACAAGTAGTGGATACATATGTATATGTACTACAACAGTTACATTTGGATAAACAAACAGCATATATTACAATAGTTATAAATGTATGTAGATGTCCATTATATTTGTGATGGACAAATAGTGGATACATATGTACATATATATGTACTACAATAGTTACATTTGGATAAACAAACAGCATATATCACAATAGTTACATGTACATGCAGATGTCCATTGCATCTTTAGACTATCAATTAATTTTTAGCATTTTCCTACATTCAATCCAGATTATAACCCTTGTTATTTGTTCATATTTCTGAAGTTCTAACCCATTACATTAACTGGCAGACTATCGCCATTCAGGAGACGACAACCGTCAAGATCGATTGCATTACTTCTAATGTCTTTCTTGCAAATCTTCTATTGTTTTGTTTTTCATTTTAGGTGAATTCTGTATCATTACAGATTCATTGACTTAATTTGATGTTTATTTTTTGCAGTGTCTGAGTAGTTTGTCTTGTCCACAGGTTTGTCTTATTGGTTTTATTTGTGTGCAGTGCGGTCCTCCTGCCTTTACTATTATAATAATCAAACAAATTGAAATAGTGTATTATACATGTACCACAGACCTGCAGATGTCTGCCTTACAATATTTAAAACTGCTTTACTTTGTTAATATAGATGGCTACTAAAACCAGAATTTTGTTGCAATAATGAGTTAGGATTATCATTTTTAGTTCCATGTTTCAATTTTCAAATTCATATGATTTGTTTTAACATGTGTGTAATTTGAATATAGGAATGCCTATTATAAATTTATCTTTATTTTTTTCAGTTTTGTGTGTTTGCCCAGTCCCAAAGATGCATCCATTTACAATGTATTGTAAGTACCTCCAAACAAGTTGTTTATGAGAGGAAGTTTAACTATGTACATGTACATCCTACAGGGATGGTACAGAGTCAGAGACATTATTAAATGTCATATAGTAAAGATAATCACTCAACTTCACACATTACATATACAAGTATTACAGCAAACTCCATCACATTGTCTTTGTTATATACATAACTTCTCACACTGCTACTAGTATATAATAATTTGGGATTTTAGCACCCCCCTGTGGTTACAGGCAGTCAAAAAATATGTGTACATGTAGCTCTTTAGATAGGGATTGTTATGAGCATAGTCACAGAATCCACCCATCATGAAAAGCTGAATCAACAATGGATATTCAATCCTAATTTCAGAGGCTTCTCTTCTGTTATGCTTTCCAATGATCTAAGTAATAAGTAAGATCCACTGCAAAACAGTTTGGCATTGCAGGTGCATCCAACCAACGTTTACGGAGGGCAAATTCTGAAATCTTTCTGATTTAAAATTACATCAGATTTTAATAATATTCAAGAATTCCGAGATTAAAGTATATTGGCAACACAGGTGACCATTATATAAGTCTAAACATAGTCTAAGTATGACACACTTTACATAATAAAATACCAGGAACTTGTACTGTATTGTTAACTAATGTCATGATATAGGTGTTATGTCATTACTCATAGTCAGGCTATAACCATTTAAAGACAGAGAAAGTTATTTACAGAAATTAACGTCTAACACATGCACACAAATATTTTTGTATGAAAAATGTTTTAGAGACCATGCACAGTGTGACAATATATACATATAAAGATGTATTATATAAGACTTAAATCTGCCTATATTACAAGTCTTTTTCTATCATCAAATGTTATTTAAATTATTATTTAGACATTAACAAGCCCATAAGCAACTCTCCAGGTCATCAGATGGCTTAGACATTTAATGGATCAGAACAGACATGTCATTTAATAATTTAACGATCAAATAGATGATCAAGATTTTATTTATTTTCACAGTAATAGTGCTTGACAAAACTTCAAACACTCATAATAACAATAACATCCTTCATGTTCCTGAACCAACGACTGCAAGTTTTATCACATCTAGCTGTTGCTAGATTGGCCTGACATACCCGAACTTATAGGAACGTTATCCCCCTTTACCGCATGACACATGAACAATAGTGTTGTCCAATCAGAGGTTATGACACAAACAAACTCAAATCAAACTTGGCGACTTCCATGGAAATCTAGACCCTGAACGAACCTTGAAAGCAAGAGATTTTGTATTCATGATCATATTTTCTATCAAGGCATCTGATAGGTTCCTAGCTGGGTCAGTAGCCAATCAAAGTTCATCACAAAATATGCAGGGTATTATGTGAAGGGCCTGATAAAGCGAGATCAAACCTTCTATTGAAGATGAATTTCCCTCAGAATTAAGTTCATTGTAACGTTACTGAAACTTTCAATATATCCTTCTCTCATTATCGATTTTTGAACTATTATAGCAAGAACGGGGATATTACTTTTGGATATCATTTTTTTTGTTCAACCATCAAATACTGAAATACTCCTTGAGACAGTTTTGCAAAATATAAACTTGTGGGACATCAGCACAGTAGTGTTAACACTAGTTTAATGCAAGAGTAACACGGTTATACATTTACATGTAGCTCAACTAAAGGTCTAAGATTAGTGTCAAACATAACTCAACCTCAACACAGGTGACTTGAATTGACCCAATATACATGTATGTACCATTCTGCACACTTCCGACGTGATTTCCCCTTGTCAGTGATGCAGGATGGAGGGCCTGACAAGGACAGCTGTCTAGTCCTTCGGATGAGACAAAAAACCGAGGTCCCGTGTAAACACTGGAATGCACGCAAAAGATCCCTTGGCAGTTGGAATTTGATATAAGAGTAGGTGATAGTGCCGCTGTGTGGGCAAAATTTCCCTCATAGCACACTGTATGGGGTATACCATTCTTCATTAGCCCAGTATAGGAGCAGAACAGTAGGACGTTAAACTCCATTTCATTTCATTTTATTTTCATTCTGCACACAGAGAACTATCTATTTTGCGAATAGATCTCTGCACTAAATGGCCGCCATATCCAACAATTAGTATACTGTTTTGTAATGCGGTCCTACTCCGGTTCACATCTGTTACATTGTATACACAAAAGAACTAATTAAACCTTCTCAAAATTCTTGATTTAGGACAATTATAATGTCTACTTGTAGACAGCAAAAGTTTAGTATGCCAATGTACATGTATCTTATGTGTATTCAATCCTACTGTTAGAGAATGAAAGTACATTTTCCATCTTCATAATGTCAATGTGATTTTGCTGAACAGTTTTGATGAACCTCTTTGTAATCTAGTTTAATCCAAACAGGGAGATTATCCATTGTTGATATTTTCATTTAGTTTTCTTAATTAAATATTAAATAATCAATTTGTTGAGCTGATTAAGCCATGGATAATCTGATGTTACTCATAAATACTTTAATTTTTGGTACTTATAATATTGTTCAATAATTTAAACTGTTTATCTCGCTATTGACAAACGTTATTTGGCAGCCAACCAAGTTTTAAAGTTATCAAACATTACTTTTGTTTGTACATGACCACAATATATCATGTTTTAACGCCATGCTTCATTAGCCGAGACAGTGCAGAAAACTAGGACACTGAACCCCATTTCATTTCATTGAACTCCATGCAAAGACTACTGAACTTCAATGGTATAACAAAGTTATGTATTTTCAGTCAAGGTTTTAAGACCTTTTAATTTATACATTTGTTGAATAACACACTGTTTATGGATAACAATAAATGCCTTTATTTGTGTAATATGCTTGATAACGACTTGTGAAATCTTGTTGAAACCTTGCAGTGAAATAAACCATAGTAAATGTTATCCATACATGTACATAGTGTGTTATTCGATTATGTTCCAATTACTAATTAAATGCCATTCAAAGAATAGAATTTATACATTGATTTAAGAAATCTACAAATGTACAATATAACAATTGAAATAATATGTGGAATGTGGACTGATTCAAAGCCTCAGGAAGGAAGGAAGGAAATAAGATTAAACAACCAATCAACATAAATGACATTCTTTAGGTGGGAATGACAAAGGGAAAACCAAAGAATTTAAGAGAACACCCAGGTTAGGAAGGGGATACCGATATATACTATTCAAAAAAAGTAGGGGATATTTGATTTTTAAGTGTTATTAAAGTCACCTAATGAAACTGACGAAGAAACAAATGACAAAATGAAATGAAGTTCACATTCATCGATTTATTCCAAATGATCGTTAGACTAAGTAAGGCACAGACTGACCATTATAAGGGTAAAATGATACCCGGGGTCAAACAGCAAAGTTACCACAGCATCACAACCAAGTCAGTAACGGGTAAATCCTCCTCTGTTTGCCAAACAAGCATTGATCCGACGTGGCATACTCCTAATGAGACGTCTAAGGTCATTTTGGTCCAGATTGTCCCATTCCTGTTGCAACGCAGCAGCAAGTTCTTGGACATTGGCAGGACGTTGTTGACGTTGACGTAACCTCTGTCCAAGCATGTCCCAGGCATGCTCGATGGGGGAGAGGTCGGGACTCAGTGCTGGCCAAGGTAATGTGGTGATGTTCTGTTGTTGGAGGTAACCTGTAACGATCCTGGCCCTGTGACATCTTGCGTTGTCATCCTGGAAGATGAAACGGCGGCCATGATGTCGTGCAAACGGCACAACATGGACTGCCAAGATGTTGTCCCGGTAGTACTGGCCTGTAACACGCCCTGCAACAACATGTAAAGCCGTTCTTCCAGCAACAGTGATGCCTCCCCACACCATAACAGAACCACCCCCAAATCGATCATGTCTGATGACGTTAACGTCTTGGAAGCGCTCGTTTCGACAACGCCATACCCTCCTACGTCTGTCCAAAAAATCAACAGTGAACCTTGACTCATCTGAAAACATCACATTGCTCCAGCGTCGATTATCCCAGTGTTGACGATCCCTACACC